GGCATCATGGTTGTTCATTATCCGGCCCTATTCTTTATGCTTCTATTGGCACTGATATTTGGTCCATGCATTCTTAACTGCCATAACTCTGCCTTTATTAGCTTCCCGGATGAGGCGATAAAGTTGCAGCTCTTAGTGACAAAATATAGGCCTTTGGGACAACAAGAATCCTATGGAATTTCTAAAGTCTAATGTTGATGCTTATTCCAAAAGTGGAAAAAGCATCAAAGGGGGAATGAAGAGGAAGATAGCCCTGGAACAGGGTTGTAAAACATGGTAAACTGTCAATTAAAAGCTGTAACCTTGGACAGAGCTGTGAGGAATTGCCCATTAGAGCCCTGCAAAAGCTCAGGACCAAGATAAGAGGCACCAAGCAGAGATAAGCACCCATTCCTGCCCTTCTTTGTCTCCACTCTGTAAATAAAACTTCCCAAGCAGGTCTCCCTGCTGTTCTTATCTAAACAACACTAGGTTCCTAGCTCACTACCAGCCCAATTAACCTAAACAATCTAACTCACTGGTTAGGACACCATGACCTGAGCACATCTTTGTAACCTGATGCCCTACACTACCTTTTAAATATCTTGCGAATCCTTTGTTCAGGGCTCAGACACTGGTACACGTCTGGGCCCGCTAGCGTAAAAATAAAAAAACCTGAGTTCTCCACTCCTCTGAGTGTCGCTTGGTTTCTCCTCTGACTACCCTGCCATAACATCCTCAGATATTATTTCAGAATATTTCCAGGGTTCCTTTTTACTTAACATGTAAAAAAATGCCACTAAAACTAACCATCATAAATACATCATCTTCTTAGTAATTCAATCTATGTACATGTGATTTGCCTACACAATTCCTCTATAAGGGGACAATAAAATGGAAATCCATATGATTCTGCATGACACTTAAATAAAACAACTATCTTTGGCTGGGGGTTGTAACTCAGTGGTATAGCATTTGCCTAGCAAGTGTGAGGCCCTGGGTTTAATCCCCAGTACCTCAAAAACAAAATAAAACACATACCTTCTCATTTTTAGGAACACGGAAGGGTTTTGTTTCTGTATTTAGAGCTGATCTTAGTTGAGTTTAGTATAGTAAGTATCATACAATAGATGCTAGAATGGGTGGTTAGCATGTTCTTTTTAATTACAATGAAAATGCTAACACCATGCAGGCCTTCCAAGTTTTAGGAGATGCTTTGGTTCTCTTTGAATTTAGTAGATCTCCTACTTAGAAAGGCTGTATTTATCTGTTTCTTCATCCATATTGTGGTAAATCTAATTTTCTTAGCACTTTTAGATTTGTGAAATTATGATGAATCAGACAGTTAAGGTTCCTGGCTCTCACACAGTTTACAGGAGTGGAGTCTGTAGAATGAGGCAGAAATAAAGAAATTTCAGGTACCAAACACAAGGGGATTGAACTTTGATCACAAGATAAAAGCGAGTGTACACAAGGGAGATATGAGGATAGGTAAGGCATCTAAAAAATTAGCTAGCATTTGTTGATCTCAACGCAGAGAAACTAAAGCAGATACCTTAAAAGCAACTGAGGCCAATAGGAGAAGGGGACCAGGAACTAGAGAAAGGGTTAGATCAAAAAGAATTAACCTAGAAGGTAACACACATGCACAGGAAATTAATGTGAGTCAACTCCCTGTATAGCTATCCTTATCTCAACTAGCAAAAACCCTTGTTCCTTCCTATTATTGCTTATACTCTCTCTTCAACAAAATTAGAGATAAGGGCAAAATAGTTTCTGCCCAGTATCGAGGGGGTGGGGGGGAGAGGGAGGGGGCGGAGTGGGTGGTAAGGGAGGGGATGGGGGCAGGGGGGAGAAATGACCCAAGCATTATATACACATATGAATAATAAAAAAAGAATAAAAAAATAAAAATAAAAATAAAAAACCAAACTGCCATATTGATAGGGTGATATTAACATTAATAGGATGGTGAGTAAAATCTTCCCTAAACAAATGCCACTTAAATGAAGACATGATTGGACAGCAGGAGTTCCCAGGAAAATAGTGTCACAAGAACAAAAGACTCTAGGATAGGAATAAGATCATTTGAGGAAAGATGCTTGCTACATACTGAACAAGAGGGAGGAGTAAAGGGTAAAGGTGAAGAAAGAGGAACTTGTTTTAAGAGTTGAGATACCTATTAGAACTGCCCAGAAAGGTTTATATGTTAACATTCTGATATCCAGAACTTTTACACATTTTCAAATCAAATCAATAAATTATAATCAAAACAATAAAATTTTACATTACATGAGACTGGAAGAAATTACCTGAGAAGACAGTATAGTGTAAGAAAAAGTGAGATGCTAAAAATAATGCCCACAAAAGTAGGTAAAGGGAAGCCAGGAAGGAGAATGGCAAATTTGTGCCAGCTGAGGGTTTTAAATGTGAAATACCACTGAGCCTAAGAAAACAGACATTAGATTTGGCAACATATAAGAGTAGTGATTTTGATAAAAGTGGTTTCAATGAAATAGCATGTGCAGAGGCCTGAAGGGAAGGAAAGTAAGGAGTACATAGAAAGTGAATGATAGGGACTAGAGAAGAATATTTTGACATGTTCTCTGTAAGGGTGAGTAAAGAATTACATGGGAAGGGGAGTATTTAGAGGGGAACTTGATTCAAGGGAGAGGCTTATTTACTCATTTAATAACCATGGGTGTGGTGAACACATATAAGATTGCTATTGTATTGATGGATTGTATTGTGTTAAAGTATGAAAAATTGTTGAAATAAGAATTATTAGCTAGTGTGTGTTAGGACTTAGAAACCAGCTGGAGTGTGACAGGATGATATGCTAATAAGCCAACCCTAAGGTGGTGGCCGATAGGCACACAAGCTAAACCTAAGGTGGCAGTGCTGATAACAGGAGTGGTGAGGTCACCACCGGGTATATAAACTCAGGCTGGAACCCAAAACCTCACTTGCCTCCTCGCCTGCCAGAGACCACACCGTCAGAGTGTACCCTGAGGCTCGGACGCGGAGGCAGCCGCTGCTTGTGAGCATGTCCCTTCTCCCGACGACCACTGGGTGTCGCCGGCGAACCCACCATGAAACTGGACCTGCACTGAAGGCGGCTGTGAGGATCCCCTGGGGCACAGCTTCATCCCGTCCTCAGATGAGAAGACGACGCAGGGTGAGCGAGACTTGGGGGAAGGTCTGAGTAAACTGGCTGGCTAGGGTAGTAGAGACAGGCATTAGGATCCATAGGAAGGTGCCATGTGAATGAGTTTGAATAAAATCCTGCTCTCTGAACTCGATTGAACCAATAAGTGCTTGCAACAATGGGCTATGAAAACCAGGAGAGAAAAATCAGCAATAGCAGCATTCAGGGTTCTTGTAGGCTGCTTGTTCTTAAAGAGGCAAATCTGCCACTGGAATAAGTGATAACCAGAAAAAGCTGATTTAAAGTTGAACGTGAAATGACACGTTCCATTTTAGGGTAAAGATGAAGAAAAACTGTAAGGCGAGACCATCAGATGAATGGTAAAGAATTAAAGAAAATGTATTAATATGTAATAATACTCTGGAAATGTAGAGTATGGAAGGGTTATTAAGTAATGTATGTGGCCATAAATTTAAAGTTTGACTGTATGCTTTTCTACACTGGTGTTCAGCTGGCAGAAAAAAAGTCTGTAAATTATTAGATAAAAAGGATGATAAAAGAAGAAAGGGTAAGATATTATTTTGAACTATGGACTCTAGACTGAGTAAAGAAGAAAGACCATACAAAGAAACAAAGAAGGGTTAACAGGCAGAAAGAAAAAGTGGTGGAATAAATGGCCTGGGACTATGCTAGAAAACAAGTGATAAGAATGTTAGAAAGAGATTCAGAGATTCTATTGGTAATGACAGGTACAGCAGAAAGGTTCTAAGGGTAGGAAGAAGTATGAATTTGAGATGGATTACGTAAGTGTGTGTGTGTGTGTGTGTGTGTGTGTGTGTACACACATACATATATATATATGTATAAAGTGCAATTTGCGAATAAGTAGGTTATTTGATTTAGAAGTCTTCTAAGTTTGGCTGAGGATGAGCTAAATAGGTAAATCACACATGATGGGTTTAGTTTGAAGGTCTAATAGGGCAACATGGAGCTGCAATTTGAGTATTATTTAATATTAAAGCAGAGATGTTACTGTCTTGAAATAGAAACTACACTACCCTACTTGTAAAACTTCAAATCTTAGCTGAGGGTAATAACTGAGTGAGCTGAGAAGGGCTTTTTTTTCTTACGATCTTGATTAAGGAAGTCACCTCACCACTGTATTTAAATACTGGTATTATTCAAATCATCTGCTATCATTGAGTAGACAAGGGAGAGTAGGTTGCTTGCTATTACACTTTAGGTGTCTGATCAGAAAGGGATATTTTTGTTTTAGCCAGTGTTCACAAAATAAGAACTTATAAAATAATTTGATAATATTTATCCAAGTAAGCATTTATTTCAACTTTTAATACGTTAAAGCAAATCAAATGTGTACTTATTTTGATAAAACAATCTAGCAAAATATTACAATGAATACTAGGATCTTAAAAAGTACTTGCCAAACAGTCTGCTTATACAACTGCTACACTGGATTAAAACATTCAGGCAATATAGTTACAATTTTAGGCCATTTCATGCATTCTAATACATTGAAGCCATAACTGAATAAAGATCTCCAACAGTACACTCAAAGTATTATAGATCTATCAACTCAGGTAAAGATTTTAAATCAGGGTCTTTCTCCCCTTCTAATTTTAGTACTTGTATATTCTGAACTATTATACAAATTCTAATAATATAATTTTAGTCTAAAACTGTTTTATTTAACATTTATTTAAATATTTAAAATTTTTATATTTTGCTAAATTTGGGGTTCCTACACAAATGTGCACTTGCTAGGTGATGTGTATTTTTTCTAGTAGGGGTACTCTTATTTCCTCAGTTATCCATGAAAAATAGTAATTAGATAAAATGTATTAAAAACTAGATTTCACACATTAACACTTCTTTCATGAGTCATGAATAATGACATCAGTCCTCTGCGTACATTGAGAAGTTCCTCTTCTTGCTATGACCAAGAAAAAAAAATGATACTTAGATTTTACATTACATTTGTAAAACCACCACTGAATAGGAAACATATCATTCTGTTACAGGGATTCATTTTTACAACAATCCCTTTCGTAAAGATATTGTTTATCAGTACTCATTCCACCTAGTAAGGGTCTACATCTAGACATCTATAGAATTCTATGATCACCAGTAATGTTCAAGATAATTGAGATATCTGCCGTCTTTCAAATGACCACATCAAATTTTTAAAAGAAAAGTAAAATAAAAATCGTCTAGAAAAAATTTCAACAAGAATCAACATAGGTAGCTTTTTGTTTGCTTCAAATTATATTAACAGCCACAATAACCCTGATCTCTTACCATTTCAGTATATTGAGATTCTATTAAAATTAACTAAGTATATTAATATGCCTTGCAGACAAAGAGCACACCTAAAGCATACTTTAAAATGCCTTCCATCTTTGAGAAAACACCCAAACATGTTCGTGCGGAGCAGTGCTGCTGGTCTCTCCTGAGTGCACTTTATGCCCAGAATGTTACTGGTCTCCTGGACTTGTCCAAGAAGAACAATCTCCATTGGCCCTGTCTTGGCAGCTTTGCCCTGCTGTACTGCACATTGTTTTTAAACAGTGCAAAGAAGTCATTCCTTCAGCTAATCTTTTAATTTGTAAATTTCTATTCTTTTTTATCCTCAGGGGGACTCCTTTTTTAAAATTACTCCTATTCTTTCACTGTAACTAGCTCCTCATTACTTAAAGAAGTAAAAGTCACTGTGCTAAACTTGCCTCCTCCTAACCCTGAAAACAAAAAGAAAGAAGAAAAAACCTGTGAAAGAATTTCCCATTTAAAAACACAAAAGCTGACATGTGTAGTGGTATAGGCCTCTAATTCCAAATTCCAGCACTTGGGAAACTGAGGCAGGGGGCTACGGAGTTTGAGGCCAACCTGGGCTACTTAGTGAGACCCTGTTTCAAAGACAAAAACAAACAAAAAGACACAAAAGCATGATTATTACATTTGAGAAACTCAAACTTAGATAACTGATTTACCATTTCCTTAAGAAGCCTGTCTTGTAACATTTTCATGTTTTCTTTCATCAAAGACATCTGTAAAGTAAACATATTTCTCCCATAAAATTTATCAAAAAGTTTTCACAGCCAAAATACTAGTTAGATTAACCAATATCAAGATTATATATATATATATATATATATATATATATATATAAAATTTATACCTCAGATGTAAAAATAGTCTCTTCATAATCTGTGTTACAGAAGACATTTTTATCCAATGAGGTTTTCAAGAGATGAAGCCTAACAAGTAAAATAATGACAGTTACCTTTGTACTTATCAGGAACTCAAATTAAATTGCTAGAGTATAGGTAATTTTTCCCAATGTAACCTTATTGTTAATTTGAAAAACTAATTTATAGATTCCAGCTATTAAGGGCATACTAACCTTTGCCGTTCATTTCTATGATATGCACTGAACTTCTGAAATACCTTTTCTGAAAAGTCCTAAATTTTAAGATACAAAAACCAGTTGTACTTTAACATAATTAAAAATTAAAACCTGACAATAGAATTACTATATTTCTATGTCAAATTTAAGGGACAAGTACTAGGATTTGGACTCATGGCCTTGCACTTGCTAGGCAGGGTTCTTCCACTTGAGCCACACTTCCAGTCATTTTTGCAACAGTCATTTTTCACATGGATGGGGTCCTGTGTTTTTATCTGGGGCCACCCTTAGACTCCAATCTTCTTACCTACACCTTCCACATAGCTGGGATGACAAGTTTACACCTGGCTTATTGGTTGAGATGGAAATCTCCCTAACTTTTTGCCCTGGGTAGCCTCAAACAGTGATCCTACCAATCTCCACCTCCTGAGTACCTGCGATTACAAGCATGAGCCTGGCTACTATTCCAAATTTAAACAACTTGGCTATATACTAAGAATACTGTATATGTTATACATTTTTCATATACATATAAAAAGATTCTTTCTATATTATCAAAGATATTCATCATAAACTTGTTGGTAACTTAAATGTTTGTATGAACCCGATTAAAAATCTAAGATAAAAACCATGTACTAAACAACAAAAAACTTTGGGATGCTCTCTCAAAGAAGAAAGTAAATAAAAGTTTTTCCAAGTGTAGCTCTTAAGAATCAAGATTTTTGAAATTAGTTTTAAATTCTTAAAAGCACAAACCATGAATTCCTTCTCTAAATCTTTTAAAGACTGTGCATCTTTTTCAAAATTCTCCAGCTCTTCTGTGATGATGACTTTGAATTTATCAAGTTTTTTAATTCTATGAAAGAAACAAAATGAGATAAAATTTAAAAACTGTCACATCCAGAACATGCATTCACAACTTATGAATATATAGCATTCAGAAATTATCAGAAGAGATTTTTAATTCAGACCTATACTCCTGAATTTGATGGTTCATTGTTTTCAGATGCTGCCAAGCCGTTTTCCAAGACTGGTTAGTAAAATAATCTGTCATTTTACTTCGGACCTGAAAAATATTTAAGTTAAAATATCTTTCTAAAATAACAGCCTAACCAAGATTATATTATGAATAAAGCCTTTTTCATGACACGTGAATGACTAGGAAGTACTTAGAAAAGCAAAAATTTAAAAACTCAGGTAATTAAACAGGTTTTATAAACAAACCTAGTCAGCACAGCGTCTAATTCTATTGTTACAGCTTTGAATAAGAGTTGAATTTGTAAATCATTTACATAAGAACACCAATTCTATAGTGTTTACAAAAAAATGCTAGTGATTATAATTCTCTTCAAGACAAAAGCCTTTTTACCATTTTTCACAAAAGCATATATTCATACAAGCCATAGACATATAATAGAACATGTAAGTCAGGGATTCTCTATTTAGACTATAACTACCATGGAAAAATAAATAAAAACAAAATATATATTAAGAACTTTAGCTGGAGGCATGACTCAAGTGATAGAGTGCCTGCCTACCAAGTACAAGGCCCTGAGTTCAAACTCCAAACAATTTTAGGTCATTAGATTTTACCCTTGAATAGAAGTAAAAGGTAAGAGAGATGGGACTGAAAATATCTATATTGCAAGAATGGCATAAAAGCACTGTCTATTTCAAATACAGGCATATGAGAGAAAAGATATGGGTGGGAAAACATTACTAAAAATTAGTAACTGTTTTAGAAAGCAACTTCACGTACAGCATCTCACTGACATGTCTGAGTACAGAGCTGGAAGAACAAAGCTGGCAGTATCAAATACTACATTACACTAACTCCCTCACCAGTGGTCTCCTTTGTGAGATGAAACATGTCTAAGGAAGATGAAGCATGAAGAGAAAATTGTTCAAAAAATTAAAGAACAAAATACTAATATGAAAAGGAAAACAGGACAAAAGACAAAGAACTAGTACAAAAATAAAGAATATGGATAACAGATTTTAGAAAAGAAACTTGCCTTTTGAGAAGTTTAATAACCTGGTAATTATTCCAATTTTTCACATATGAAGAAAGTTGTATTCATGAATAGGTATTTTCTGCCCAAGGATCAAACAAGCCACCAGTTTAATAGAAAGTGTGGTGAATTATATTACTGATATAATATATTGATATAATTTAAAAACTGATAACTCACATGCATCTTCCTCTTAAATTCTGAGTTGATCTTCTCACAAAGCATCTCTACACCTGATATGTCACTGTTCCAGTCCTCATCAGGAACAGAAAAGTCCTTTGGTGATAATGGAGACATACTTCCAGATGCTATAAATGAATACTAGCTAAAGTTAAAATATGTATTACAGATTTAGCCTTGTCATTAGGTTGAGAATAAAATCGTATTTCAGATTATAAATGCAATCTAAGGACTTATAAGGATTATTAAATCAATGACAGACTTCATTCTGTAACTTAAAAATAAAATAATTTACTTAAAAAATCTCTGAGATGGCTGTTACGGCAGAAATGTTCGCATAAAGAGAAATTTGTGGTAAGGCATCATTCATCTTGGACTTATTTGAAGTTGTCTTTACAAAGAAATTTGTTTTGTGGATGAAGTTATTCAAATCTAAGAGGCCACCTTCCAAACAACTGCATTTTGACACAGGCTTTGTATCGACCTACTTTTGTAGGTGCGCCGATCTGTGTCTTCTGTTTTACACAGTCTTTTGGGAGGCAAGTGTGCTCTCCTTTCTTCTGACTCTTCTGTTTTCACTCCATTGTAATCACTTAGATTATCTTCTATGTACATTCGTTTGCAACTAAGATGTTGAGTGGGACCTTGGGAATAGTTAAGAACAGTGCTCAATACTGATATTAAAATGTCCAATATTTCCTTGCTTTTATTAAAAATGTTTTAAATTGTTTCCATTGTATTTTAAACAACTGCACTGAATTACACCTAGCTTACATTTTTATGTAATATTTATATATTTGAATGGTCTGACTTAACATGTGTAGCACATTTAAATGAAATTTCACAGTAGTATTTCAGTAATGAGCAATTATTTTTAAAAGGCTGTGACTACAAACCTGATACATGAGTAGTGTCACTGAGTATGTCAAACTCTATTTTCTCTCTTCTTTCACTAGACATGGATAATGGAGATGCTGAATGGCTTTCCTAAAATACATATTAGAAATTAGAAAAACATGCTCATGGATTCACCTTTAACCATCTTTTAATCCTGTGTCAATGTGATAGTAATAGCTTTGAGCTGGCTTTTTCCATTATTCCTGCTATTCAATGTTTCCATGTTAGGATTTTCATTTCTTTGAGTCAGGTAATGGGGAGCCACAGAAAATTAAATCTTGAACACTTCATTTTAAGTCACATTCTTCACATCTAACCTCATATTTCACTATTTGAAAGCACAAGGTTTTTAAACTTAGTAACTTCTATTTAGGTTACTGCTCTTTCTCTACTTAATCTTTATATAGGTCTAGCTCAAATCCCAGCCCTAAGTTGTAAAATTCTGTCTTGATTTCTGTATTTTAAAGATTAAAATATTTCTGTTGACAGACTGATGAACTTTTACGACAGCAACAAGCTAAAGCAACAAAATTCCTGCATCATCATAAAACCAGAAAATCCTGTTATAATATATAACACAATTAATATATAACTATATATTAATATATATTATAATATAAATATAATATATAGTAATATAAATATAATTATTTATAACAGTTACATTAATATATAACTGTTATTAATATATAACAGTTATAAATATATAAGTCAGGGATTTAGCAGCTATCTCTTTACTACTTAAGACCTTACTATTTTCATTTTACAAGTTTCCACTTTTTTCTATCAAAACACATTTTTCTATGATCAAGCCATTCTATGTCCTTTAAGCATCATATTCTCAAGTAATACCAACTCAAAAGTATTAAAGGCCAGTAATGTGATTCTTTTAAAAATCATTTCAATTTAAGGAAACTTTGAAAATTATAGTATATTACCTCTCTTTTGCTTTGTATATGATTTTCATTGATATTTGGAGATTCAATTTCCATAAAATGTTTTTCTGAACTATTACTGCTCACATCTGAATTGCTGTTACAATTTTGTGTTTCTTGTGCAAATACAACAGGATTTATATTTTTCTATTCACAACAATATTATTCTTAATTGGAGTATACCTGGGCTATGAATGGTAAGACATACAGAAACCCAAAGGAAGTTCAGATAATTGTTTAAAGCCAGAAAAAAGGCTTAACAAATGGGAAATATTGAACCAAATTAAAATTTGAGAGATTAATTCACTGCTGAAATCAACACCCTTTCATAACTTTTTAAAAAAGCTCTTAGCCAAACAGAACATTAAGCTGATGACAAGTATTCTACCAAAAGCCACAAATGAAGATGACTGCTAGTATAGCCTCTATGCTCCAGAGGTCAAGTCACCTTAACAAGACAAAAAATATGAAGCATAAACTTGGAACAGAAATCCAAAAATTATCATGTTTATACAGAAAATCTAAGAGAATTTGGGTAGACAATTATGATGAAATTCAGCAAGTTGGAGCTATAAAACAAGAAATTTTTCAATACAAAAGTAAAATATATAATTTTAAAGGGGAGTTTTTAACACAGCGAAAGAAAATTCATAGATATTTAGGAATTAATTCTAAGGAGAAGCACAATTTCCTTATAGAAGCTTTGGTTCAACTTTGTAGGAAATAAGACCAAAAAGTGGAGAGAAAAATGATATGTGAGTGAGAAAGATCCTATCAATAATGAGATCAGTATCGATAATTCTTCTCTTAGACAAACTACATTCTGAAATTTAAGGTTGAAGAGAATTGTGAAGTAAAAGAATAGAGCATGTGGGGTGAAACTTCTTGTGAGTATAAAACTATATTCATTCAAGCGGTGTGATTTTAGCACGGACAGAAATAGGTTAGTAAAACATAATAGCAGCCAGACTCATATGAACATCACGTCCACACTTGAATTAGGAGTATTCCATTTATGATGTTGCACTAATCAATCATCATATGCAAGAAGAAATCCCAGAGACTAAAAACTAAAAACGTGTAATCAAAATTAAAAGGGAAACTATTTTTATGACAATAGTTTAGGAAAGGATTTTTCTTTCTTTCATTTTTTTTTTTTAAAGACAGGGTCTCACTATTTAGCCCACACCGTGCTCAAATTTGCAATCCTCCCACCTCAGCCTCCTGAGTGCTAGGATTACAGTTGTGTACCACTATACCACCTGGGAAGAATTTCTTAACCCAAAATATTGGTAAATTTTTATTATATCATATCCTTTGTCATATGAAAGTTATGAGTCAACTAAGTCAAAAGACAAGATACATATTAACTAAGTGAAAAGACAGGATACCAGTTAATGTCTGCATTGTACATAATCAATACAGAATTAATATCACCAATAGAGAATATCTAGAATACATTAAGAACTCCTATAAATTTATAAAAATCAAACAATGTAATTAAAAAGTAGGAAAGCAGAGATCAGGAGAATCGTGGTTTGAAGCCAGCCTGGGCAAATAGTTCACGAGACCCTATCTTGAAAAAACCCATCACAAAAAAAGGGCTGGTGGAGTAGCTCAAGGTATAGGCCCTGAGTTCAGACCCCACATCCCCCACTCTAAAAAAAATTTTCTCTGTGATGACTACTGGCCTAAAAGAATGAAAGAACCTTAAAACCATCATGGAAAAGAAACACATTTGGTTTAAAGTGGTAGGAAAGAGGTTCTACCTGATCTAATCAGCAGTATTAGATCTCTAGTATAGGTATGTTGAGCAGTCATTTTATAGGTTTTCTTTTTCTTTTTCTTTCTTTCTTTTTTTTTTTGCAGTGCTAGAGACTGAAACCAGGTCTTCATGCATACTAAACAGGTGGTCTACCACTGAGCTATACTTGCCAAACCTTAAATAGTTATTAATTCCATTTTGTATGCAAAGGTTAGCATATATTGGGGAGGAAATATTTTATTCACTATGTATCAGGTATAATTTTCATTGCCCCATCTTTCAGATGAGAAAGATTCTTTAACTTATAAAATGTTACAAAGCTAGCAAATAATGGAAGACTAAGAATTTAAACCCTATTTTGTCAGAGTCAAAACTCAGCTGTACCCAGTTATAGTGTTCTACACCAATGTCTTTGAAATGAGCTCCATAATTTCATCAATACTTCAATATCTAAGTTAGGTAATTACATGACACATAAGCAAGAAAGGGGAGATGGTAAGAAGGTTTTAAACGGTACCAAAGTACGTAAAACTTTTTTAAAAAGCAGAACTCAAAATACAAAATTACTCCTTATAAACTACAAATATTACTATTTACCTCACTTTAAACTATAATTGAGTTCTATTTAATATAATTTTAAAGACTTTTAAGCATACCTGTGAATTTTATTAAGAGGAAACAGTACATATAACTTGATACATGAAAGAGATAATCTCCTTTCAATATATGACATTTAATTTTTATATTGTTAATTTTAAACCTCCCTATAAAAATCCAAAGCAAACAGTGTTTAATTATACTGTTTTAAACTACATTGTTGTCAATTCACTTTGTCAATGTGTGATTTTAGTGAGTAAAGCAATAAGCTTAGTTAATAAGGTTACAGACTTTAATTTAGGGTAAAATCTGAAGTACTTCTTGTATTGCAGAAAACTTAATTTTGATATGTAGACAAATGGAAGTGATCATTCCTATCACACAGTATCTTATTTTTATTCTGTGCTGTCATGCCAACACATCTTTCTCCCAAATACACTGAGTTAGATTGGATCACTGAAGCTAGGAACTGTCTTGTTATTATATCCATCTCACCCCCAGCCCCAGACCAAATTCAAAACCTTAAGCAGACAAGTGATGGATGTCTGATCAAGATTACAGACACATGATTTATCATCTTCAGATACACGATACATACTTACCAAAAAGACTGGTCCCGGAACTGGTGAGCAACTTTCACTTGTACACTGTAAGTTTAGCTCATTGTTTTTGGGCGAGTTTCCTGAATCTCTAACTTCATCAGTACTGTTTAAGGATTCAGGTGATGAAATTTTTGGATAAGGTGAGAGAGATTTTCTTATGCAGTCATAATCCTGAGTAAAATCCTTTTCTGTTGTTTTGTCTTTACCTACATCCCCCCACAAAAGACAAATAGATGGCAGGTGTTATCACTGATGTCTGCTTTAGAAAGAGCATGCTTAATTTAAATTCTGATATAATAATTTAATGAATTCTCAAATCTTAGCTATCTTTTAAGACACTTTCAATAATTTAAGATCAAAGCATGTTTAAAATATTTTGTAAAACTGAAAAATGGCTAAATTTAAATTTTAAGAACTCTTAAAATACTTTCAAACAGAAGTATTTACAGCATGAGGTGAAACACATCGACAGATCTAAGCACTATCTTGAGTATCTTGAGTCACAGCTAATAGTGTTATAAAGTCACTATTGTATGACTGGAAAAGGCTTGGGAAATCAACTCTTCTAAACTCATAAAATGAGGACACTCACTGATGAAAAAAGTTAGCATAAATGAATTTTAATGGAAATAATATTTAGAAATGCTTTAAGATAGCTTTACAAGAAACTAAAATAATATAAAGCTATACATGTATAGTTTGTGTAATAGAGACATATATATATATATATATATATATGATAGAGCTTCAAATGTTTTACCAATCATTTAAAAATAAAAGTATAATCTCTCTTGTTCATGAAGATAATCTACTGAGTTCACACAATGATATTCCTTAGACTTGCGAAGTGTAAAAAGAGAAATAGAAACTCATATAATTTTTATGTTAAGTATATTTTGAGCTAAAAGCACATTAAAATTAATGTGAACCTGAAATTTCACATAACTTATAAATATGTGTTCAATATTTTCCATGTCGAAACACTTGATTTTTAACTTCCTAATATGAAAAACTTCAGTGTTCAAGGAACACTATTCCCAAGTTAGCAAAAAATAACTTACCAGCATTAACTGGGTTTAGAGGAAGAGTTTTTGTTTGTTTTGGCAGTCCCAATGCTTAAAGTCAGGGCCTCATGCTTACTAGGAAGGTGTTCTATCACTGGAGCCACACTACCAGTCCCTTTTTAAGTTATTTTTCAAATAAGATCTTGTGTTTGCCTGGGGCTGGCCTCAGACCACTGTCCTCCTATCTATGACTCCTGTGCAGCTGGGGTTATATATGTGTACTAACACACCAGGCTTTTTGATTGAAATGGGGTTTCACTAACTTTTTGCCTGGGCTGGCCTCAAATCATGATCCTGCTGGTCAGTTAGAATTACAGGTGTGCACCATCAGGTCTGGCAAATGGAAGTTTTAACTACCCATAATCTTTTTTTTTCTTTTTGCAGTACTAGAGTTTGAACTCAGGGCTTCATGCTTGCTAGGCAAGTACTCCCACACTTAAGCCATACCCCAAATCTTTTTTGGTTTAGTTTATTTTTTTTTTTCAAGTAGGGTCTCTTGCTTTTGGCAAGGGTGACTTCAGGCTGTGATCCTCTTTCCTTCACCTCCCATGTAGCTGGGATTGCAGGTATACACCACCACACCCAGCTAATTATCTATGATATTAAATAAATCCCTCAAAATTAGTCTTCAGAGTATAATTTCACCTAATTGTTGCCTATTCAAGGAAGATGAAATGATACTGACATCTCATTACTTCTATAGATGAAACACTCCCCGATAAAGATACAGGAGATAAGTCAAGACTGGTATCTCTTAGAGTATCTTTCTGTAGAGATGAGTTTTTCCAATCTTTTGATAGTCCTTTCTGTGTTTCATCAGAGACTTTCTGTTGTTTCCTTGGCAGTTTTGTTGTTTTGCTTCTGAAATGTATATTCTCCTCCTAAATGTATACATAACTTTCAGATTACAGTTGAATACAAATATATTTGGACACATAAAACAAATGACATTGAAGTATATTGTCTTATATTAATTACTACATGCAGGCATAGCAAGGGCTTACACATGAGCATAATACTTTCTAAATATGAAATACAAATAAAATGATGTAAGCGTTCAAAGATGATGATTATATACAGTTTAGGCAAAACAAAATTCCCAAATTTCATGATCCTTGAAACACTGAGGAGTTTGTGAAAGAAGATGATGGGGGAAGACACACTAGGACTACAGAAGGCTGCTGATCAGAGCAAAGGAAATAGAGAAGCATAGGTGTTATCTTGCAGTCACAAGTTATATAGCATATGATTGTTACAGATATGGGTATGTACTGGGGAAGAGTGGAAATAAGCTTGGAAAGGTACTTTGATGCTTTAAATATCTGGCAAGTAGAGATTTTCAGGGATTTTTTTTTTGAGGAGGGATAGGGTGAGAGTGGCTTAGAAAAGACTTTATGCATGGTAAATTAAAGTAAGGATTGATAAACATGTATGAAATTCTTTCCACACAGTAGACGATAATGTCATAAACAAAAGGATATGAAAGTTTAATGACTTAAAACCAGCATTGTGTAGTAGTCAGAGACCTATCCTTAGCCAAGATTCTATGGGTTGAAATTCTCCCTCCACCACACTTCCTAGCTATCTGCCTTTGAACAAGTTTCTTCTCTGGAGCCTCAATTTCTTGTTTGTAAAATGGGATGACAGTAATAGTAGTAATTACCTATAATAATCATCAGATTTTAAGAAATAAATCTGAAATATGCTTAAAATTAGCAACTGGTTCATTTTAAACATGTTGCATGTATCTTTTTTGCTTTTTAAAAAGGTTTCAACATACATGGTTGAGTTATGTTTGTCACACTATGAGACACAAGGGAGAAGTTAAAGATGGGCATAGACAGGGCAGTATATGTGAAGAACTTCAAACACCAATATTTTCCTTTTATTCAAGAGAAAGATCTACAACTTCCAAATGAGTTATACTTTATTAAAGCATAATTTTGGAAAAGCAAGTGCTTCTCTATGTAAAGATTCTTAAAGTTGTACTTTTACTAGAAATAGACATCTTTTTTCTACCACTAATGCCAACTTATCACAAAGTTTAGCATTTTATTGCCTAAGGATTTTTTAGAATTATTATAAATGTTTTATTATATAGAAGGCCAAGTCTTTTCAAAAGTGACAACATAAATCTGTCAGTTTGACCAGATATGTACTTAATATCTTAAGAGATCTTCAGGAATTACTCACTGTAACTGGGAATATTTACCTTTACTAGCCTTTTCTCTTTCAATGAATGTGGAAATTCTTCACTCTCTGATTCTGAATTTGAGAGATCTTTGTAATTCTTTTTAGCTTTTGCTGCTCTTCTGGGAAGTCTAGTTCTTCCATGTGGAACTGCTTCATTTTCCTTTTTGGTAATGTTTTTATTGGATGCCTTTAGGAGAAAAATTCTTAAATATTATTAGCTCAATATTTGATATACAAGAAATATAAGCTATTTTCTATAAAACTGGCACTGACAACACATACACAAAATACCTTGTAGGAGTGAAATTATCCTTGGTTGCTATTTTTTACTATATGTATGTATGTGTGTATATATATATATAATTTTATAATTTGGGGGGTGGTGAGGCAGGATCTCACCTGTTTCTAGTTCAGGCTGGCCTGGAACTATGTAGCCCAGTCTGGCCTTGAACTCCTGATCCTCTTGCCTCAGCTGCCTCAGTGCTGGGATTACACACATGTACTACCACACCTGGCTAAATGATTGTATTTTATCTCCCCTTTCCATTTATCTTCTTCACTTTTTTATTCCTATCATTAAATCTTTTAAGAGGCCTGATATGTATTGTCTAACATAAGTAAAAGAAGAGATCAAAGTGACCTATAATCATTGGGATAAAATAAGACTCAAAATAAGGCCAACATGATTTTTTTTAACAAAGACTGCAAGAGAAAGTAGGAAAAGGCAGGAACAATTGATAATTATTTTTAGATGATAAAAAGATAACTTTAAAAGAAATTTTTAAACACAAACTTCTTGGTTTACCATTTTAGATCTTGGCTGTCCCTTATCCAAGGATGATCCTACAATTCAGGAAAATAAGGTTAAAATTTTCAAATAGAACTAGCATTAAATTTCCTAGAGTACTTTTGAATAGAAAATCAATTAAGAATGTATATTTCTTTTTTAAAAGCATTTATTAGCATTTAATGAACCTCCTTCCATGTGGCTTCAAGCCACCAGACACAGGCTCCCTTCACACCCTAATCTTCTTCTTAGCTTTTCTGCTGAAAAATGTGGCCTTCAGGATTGACAGGCTACTTTGGGGGGGCTTTCCCTTCTCCTGAACTTTGTGGTAGCCAGGCTGCACTATATCACTGATGGGAAAGAATGCATCTTTAAACTTACGCAAAAATTAAAGTTTCAAGAATGGATAACTTAACTGTATGGTAATTGGTATGGTATATATTGCCAATTTTCCTTCTCCTCTATTTTATGTTATCAAACTATGAAAACAAATAAGAGCATGTGCAACGTAAGTTAAATGAGTCTACCACCTGATTTCAGAACAGATTATGAATAATGTTGAATCTACTTAAGTATTTTCTCTTGTACTGTCCTCTTCATATTCCTCTGCTGAAAGTTAATCATTACCTTGAAATCTGCTTCTCATTCTCTTGCTTTAAAGAAGTCTTGTTTCACAGATATGAATCTCTAAATAATACAATGAGCTGAATAAAAACATACTGCCCTATGTCATATTCTATAATTTCTGATTTTCTACAACATCATTGTTTCTAGGATTGTTGATGTAGTTTTAGTCCCAATGTCCTTTTTTGCCTTTCAAGTATGATGTCCTTTTTTCTAAATATTCTCTGGAAACCAAAAAAGAAATGAGATTATCCAAGCCAAATTTGGAATAAGGTCCTTGAATACTATCAATAAGCCAGCTCATACATATTGTCATTCCACCATTTAAACAAACTAATTCACACAGGAATTCAATTTTATAAGTATGCATTGATTATGGTATTTTAATCTCAAATCCTTGAAATTCCTAATCTTCTACTTTATCTATTCAAATGTCTTTATTTGTACATCTTCCCACTAGATTGTAAGCTCCTGGAAGACATGCTAATCTTGTTTCTCCTTAGCTTGAACACACTGCTTCAAAGTCTGGACTTTATAATTAGATCCAACCTCACTTTTTAAACTATATTCCAACAAATACAGCCTATGTTCCAGCTACCCCGATTCTGCACTCCCTAAATATACTATGCTATTTCATACTTCTATCCTTTTTAATCTGAAAACCTTGTTCCTTTTCTTCTTCATGTATCTGGTTGGACTCTCACCTGTTTTCAAGATCCAGCCTCACTTTTAAATGTATGCTAAAATTCACTCTATTTTCACATCTTTTTAAGCCAACTCCCATCCACCACCGTAATTATTTTTATCCTGAAATTAAATAAAAGCTGCTAACCTTAAAATAAATGTTGAAAAGCACCATTATCTTCTATTTAAAAGTAGAATATATAGTCTTTATGATTTAGCAAACACTGACATCCATATTCACTTATGAAAACAGTGATCATCTCTAGTCAAAGTCTATACCTCAAACTCTTATTTAATTACTTTGAGAGAGTCACTGAAACAAAGACAAAACAGTAGTCATATCCTAGGAAATAATTTGTGTGGAAGACTTAAGAAACCCCCCAAAACTTCTAAAAGAAAAAAATCTTCCTTTCTAATACTTTTATTACATCTAAATGAATTCCTAAAATATATGTATGTTGAGTACAGCAAGAAAATGCGATAATGAGAAGTCAAAAGTATGTGTTTGTGTATGCATACATATATACAAACACACACACTTGAATACATATATGCTTAAATAACAATTGAAGGATAATGTTGGTCCTAAGCTTTGGTTTTGTTTAACAATGTTAGGTTGATAAGTACTAAGTACATTATTTACAATAACTAATTAGCTAAACAGCTGAGTAACAGTCAGCCATGAGTAGATAAGTGTTCAAACTACATCATGAACCAAAGATTATGTTAAATCATATTTTGCATCCTTAAGGCCCTATTAAAAAGGAGAAGTAATTTAAACATAATCATATTACCAAATATTAAAACAAAAATGTAACCAGTAGTGTTTTGTTCTACTCACAAGAATATGTTGCTTCAGTCTAGTTATAAAAGCATATTTATCAACAAATAAAGCATTTTATATAATTGAAATGATAAAATTATTTGTAACATTTCCCTAAAAAGTAATTTCTTACTTGATTTCCCATTTGTATATTGCTTCACATTTTTATTTCTGGTATATGCTATTAACTGTGGTTTTGACTTTGGTTCTCTTAGCCAGCTAATGTCCGTTTTGCTGTCATCACATCTGTATTCTGTATCAGTATCACTAAACAGATTTTTCTTTGTATGATTTGATATCTATTAAAAAATAATAAAAATCCTTGAAATAGTTGAAGAAATATGTCTTTATATATTGATATATCATGCAAGGTAAGCCATCTCCATAAGTTTCTTTAAAAATCAGAAAAACTATTTATTTATCGTAGTTCTATGGATTGAACACAGGGCCTTGTCCATGCTATACATGCTAGGCAGATACTCTACCACTGAGCTATATCCCCAGCCCTAACATCTCATTTCTTGATGTACTCATCTACATGATATTAGTGACCTAACCAAGAAAATCACTCAGAAATACAGTCACACAGTCAGATTTGTACTTTGGTGTTAATCCTGTTAACTAAAAGTTAAGTCAAAACAGCTTACTTCCACAGGGACACAACCTAATACCATCAAAATAAGTAACACTGTCATATTTTTCTATTACTAGATGATTACAAATATCTCAAAGACAGTAAGAAAAGTCACAAGGGAACAATGGGTAATCTCACAGAGGAATACAAACTATTTTTATTTTCTAGTTCTTTGATAATCTTCAGCATTAAAAAGTTATTATAAGCTAGCTAGCGGAGTGGCTAAAGTGGTAGAGAGCCTGCCTAGCAAGCATGAAGCCCTGAGTTCAAGGTCTAGTACTTCCCAAAATAAGTTATAAGAAATACTGTTTTCATAGACACATTAGGGTATCATAACTTACTCTCTTATCTTTTGTTTTGAGTGAAGGTTCAAGTTCATCATGATCCTTTAGATCTCCCCTTAAGCAAAAATATTTATAAATTTTAAAATACTTATTGTGCTTGTCTTAAGACAAGAGTGCACTGGACAATTAATCTTAGTTTTCAGCTGTAATCCTTTTCCTGATTAGCTATATAATTCTAGCCAGGTCACTTATCCTTTTTGATTTGTTACTTTTAAAATAATGAGGCTGGATTAAAGGACCAAATCTCTTCAGCTTTATGATCTAAGATACACAACCAATATTCAAATTACAGAAAATCTGTGCATTAAATTTAAAAGTAAATGTTGAAGTAACAGAAACATAATGGGAGTAATCATGACAGTAGCATTTTTACACTCCTCTCATATGTTAAAAACACTCAGTTTAAAGGGAGATTATCATCTAAGAGGAAAAAAGACTGAGCTAAATTTTAATCTGAACTATCTAATTATAATAAAAAAGGACCTACAATTTTATTGAATTATCCATGCAGGCTTCTTTAGTTGTAGCTTGAAATTCTTGGATCTATATGGTGAATAAATATTTTTTTAAATAAAGACTTCTTAGTATGTAAATAAATGAAAATTAAAGAAGTAAACATAAAATCTGTTTTCTATCACTTCCTAGAAGTGATAAAATTTAACAATAAATTAAGCTTATTCTTTTTATTTAAGAAGAAAGCTAATATAGCAAAATACACTAGAAGCAGAATAAATGAGGAATATCTGTTTTAAATTTATCCCATAGTAAGGAAAGTAATCTTCTTGATGAAGTTAAGTCTAAGTCCTTTCACCCCCACTTACTCACTTTCCTCTACTTCATTCAAAAAAAATTGGAAAAATAACTAGATACACCTAGGCTGGTTATCTAAATAAACTGTTATACATTTAGAATTTTTTGAAGCAATCTGCAAGAAGATACACATCAAAAATATACCCTCCTAATTGCATAGTAAATGAAAAATAACTAAAGAATGAAATACTTTAGTATTTAGAAATACTGATTTCTAGATTACCCCAAGTTTTATAATAGGTTCATCAGCTCCATTCAAATTAAAATTGTAAACATCATTCCTGTGAAAATGATGACAAAGTATTAGTTCTATTATATGATAAATACATTTAGTCTCTTCAAATATGAAGAAAATTAAAAGACTTTTGGAAAATTACTTACAATGGGCATTCAGAAGTAACATTAACAAAAGTAGTCTTCAGTTTTCTGTAACTTTTTTTCTGAACCTTTTCCAAAATACAAGAGGGTTACATAAAACCATTTATACCTGTAGATAACCATATATGTGGAAATCAACTGCATACATTTCCAGTTGTGACTCCACTAATATAAATCAGCACTTACAGCATTTCCCTAACATATATTGAATAAAAGTATATGAAATCACTGCCTTGTGAAGACATCTGCACCCTCATGTTCATGGCAGCATCAGTCATAATTTCCAAAACATGAAAACAAATGTCTGTTGACAGATGGATAAAGCAATTGTGCTACACACACATGCACGGACATGCATGGGGATATTACTCAGCTTTAATAATAGAAAAAGATCCTCCATTTGCTACAACATAGGAAAACACGGAGGACATTATGCTAATGAAATTAGAGACATAAAATCTAATACTGCTTCATCTCACTTGTATTATGTGGAAATCCGTAAGAAACGATTGAGTACTTAGAAAGAGAGCGAAGTGGTGGTTTCCAGAGTGGGGTCAGGGAAAGAAAATGGGAAGAATTGGTTAAAGGATACAAAGTTGCACATATGTAGGATGAATAAAGCCCAGAGATCTAATATAGAATGTGTGGACAACAGTTAATAATATTGTATTGTATTCAGGATAATTTTTAAGAGAGCAAATTTTAGGTGCTCTTGCCCTGTACACACAGAGAGGATAATTAGGTAAGATGATAGACATGTTAACTTGTTCAATTATGTAACTATTTCATTATGTAATAGCATGTTATATACCTTAAATATATAATAAGAGTATTAAACATAGTTTTAAAAACTGAAACATACATGTACTAACTAAAAGCATAATAGAAGGTATGATAAAGCTAATATAAAATCCTTTTAGTCTTCAAGTTTTACATTGTTGTACATAGATAACCTTCTCACCAGTATTCTCTAAGCTAAATTTCAGTAATTCTAGAGTCATAAAACAAGCATGCTCCTACTTTGTTCCAGAATACCATTTGCTTAAAGTCTTAAATAGAAAACTTTGAGAGAAGTTAAGATTTATGTAAAATCTCATCTGAGTAAAAAAAGGTATCAATTTAACTAGGGGAAAATGTTTTAAATTATTCATATAGATTATAGCTCAAAATGTATTTAACCAGATCACAGAGTACAGAGGGTAGAAAAGAAGTTAAATAAAAATGTAATAAATCAATAATTACATTGTATTATTAAAGAAATTTAACCATGATTAGATATATAAATAATATCACTGGATAATTGATTACGGATCATAAATAATCAGAAGACTAATTCAGTGTCCAGTAAGTTAGGAACATTAAAAAATGTTCATTTTAATTTGTGATTCCTCTTCAACATTTCTTTTGGCTATTTTGTTTAGTATTCTTAACATTTATCCCTCAATGTTGTTTCACTGACCACTGTATGCCATATCCTTTCTAATATGATTTCTGTTGTTTTTTATTAGTCATGTATTATTTGTTCAAAGGGATTTCATTACGGTATTCCACATATACATGCAATATTTCAATCAAATTTGCCCCTTTTTTCTCCTCCCTCTCCCCATCTTAAAACAATTTCATCAGGTTTCATAGTTCTATTTTCCTACATGGGTATGAATTACTTAGACCATAGTCACCCCCTTTCACTCTCTCCCCTCCACTATTACCCACCTCCAAGTAGAACTTTTACATGTTATTCATTTTTAAAGGCTAGATTTCTCATATAAGAGAAAATATGCAAATGTCTGAGATTATTTCACTTAACATGATTTCTAGTTCTATTCATTTTCTTGCCATAATTCTATTCTTTATGAATGAATAATAATTGTGCATATATACCACATTTTCTTTATCTACTCATTGGTTGATAGGTACCTAAGCTGATTCAGCATTTTAGTTTTTATGAACAGTGCTGCTATAAACACGGGTGTGCAGGTATGGCCATATATGTTGACTTACAGTCCTTTGGATATATGCCCAGTAGTAGTATAGCAGGATCATATAATAGTTCTATCTTTAAACTTCTAAGGAATTTCCATACTGGCTGCACTAAATTATATTCCTACTAACAATGTAGGATCCCTTTCTCCACCGCATCCTTGTTTTCTTGATGATAGTCACTCTGATTGGGTGAGATGAAATCTCAATGATGTTTGATTTGCATTTCCTTTATAGCTAAGGATGTTGAACATTTCTTCATGTATTATTAGCCATTTGGACTTATTCTTAAATTGTTCCTTTGCCTATTTATTAACTGGATTATTTATTGCTGTGATGTTTAATTGTTGGAGCTTTTATATATGCTAGATATTAACCCTTTATCTAATAAATAACTGGCACAGATTTTCTCCCATTCTGTTGGTTTTCTTTTGATTTCTACCTTCGTAGTTTGATGCAATCCCATTTTTCAATTTTTATTCTTATTTTCTGAGCAATTGGGGCTTGATTCAGAAAAATATTACCTAAACTTGTATCTTTGAGGTTTTCCTCTATGTACTTAAATAGACAGGGGCTATTTTAAGTACTTGCCACTGAATTTGTCAGATTTTATAATCTGTTTAGCAGTATTCTAAAAATACTTAATTCTATTCTACTAGTATTTTAGTGTTTATACTCAAACATAATCAAATTTGACTATAGGTTTGAAGTTAAATAAACACCTACCTTACTGAGTTGTACATCAGATTTGTTTGACAACCCACTATAAAAAAGATTTTGACAAAGTTTAAAGAGCAATTATATGGCAGTAGAATATTTTTCACAAAAGCTATTTTATATAAAACATATTTGCATTACTAAATCTATATTCAATATGCAACAAAATGTGTACCAATATGCAACAAAATGTGAAGTCACTGGTCAGTCTGATATTTTTAAACTTCACTCATAATAAAATAGCAACTATAACAGTTAATTTTGAGTTGAATTATTAAAAAGTGCAGCAGAAAGTCCCACACAATTTAAGATGTATAGTCCTGCCATGAAAGTCATTTTTCTCATATTACGTAATAAGGCCAGAATGAATTCAACTTGAATTAACAACCTGATAGACCATAAATTTGTATTTTGTAGTAAGAATTAACTTTCAGAAAGGCAATACATTATTTAGTATATTAAAATAACTCATTTCATCTCAATGAAACTTCAAATTTCATTAAGCAATGTATTTATATATGTTTAGCTTTACTCATTACTAGAGTCCATAAATACAACTGTAAGATGTTAATAGTGATTTTGTGTTTGTTTGTAAGCCAGGGACTCACTATGTATCACACATTGGCCTCTAAGTTGCCAAGTAGTCCAGGCTGGCCTCCAACTTGCAATCTTCCCACCTCAGTCTCCCAAATGCTGAAATTTTCAGGCATGTATCACCACTTCTGGCTGGTGTATTGACATGGTATTTATTTGACACTTGACAAAATGTAGCCAGATACTAGACTGGCGTACTTCAAATTTAATTCATTTTCTATATAATTCAAACATCTATTATTCATAAAAATAATTATTAACTGTGTTTTAGTGTAAAGTTCTATCATTTGAATGTATATTTAAAACTAACCTTTTCCGAAACTGTATAAACTAATGTAGTTACATTTGTCAGAAAAATATTCATGTCTAAAATTGTGAACTTACCTGTCAACCAAAGACTCTTTTAATTTTCTTGTAGACTTAATATCATCTGTTGGTTTGTATCTCTCATTAATTTGGCTTATCAAGGACTCTGCTGCTTCTGTAAATGCTTTCCCTTTTGACTTTTCTCTCTGAAAAATTTGTAAGTTACTATGAATCTTTTCCCATTAACTATCAAAGGAAAATAAAGGCTGAAAGAAAATTTAAGAAAAATCTGGTTCTATTAAATAAAATAAGGGGGCAGAAATTACTTAATAAGTTTGGGCTTTATAAAGCATTAAAACCACTCAGGATATCTTTTCACATTTAGAACCTTAAAGACACTTTGTAGAGAAATTGAAAAGTTACTATACATGAGAATAAAATACTTTCAGATAAAACCAGACATTTGAAAAGATCAATAAAATTGATAAATCTGTAGCTAGATTAGCTGAGGAAGAATATAAAAGAAGAGAGGACAGCAATCACTCCTATCTGTAATGAGATCTTCCCTCCTGATCGAACAAACATTAAAATAATAATAAATGAGTATTATGAACTTCATATCCACAAATTTGACAACCCAGATGAAAAAGATCAATTCCTTAAAGGATACAATTTACCAAAGCTTGGCCAAAAGATGAACAGATTATCTGAATATGCCTATATGTTAAAGAAATGGAACGGATTAACCTTACAAAACAAAAAGCACCAGGCCCAGATGGGTTCACTGGTGAATTCTATCAAGCATTTAATGAAGAAATTATACCAATTCTCTACTTTCTAAGCAGAGGAAATACTTCCCTCATCCTATGAGGTTAGTATCACCTTAATCCCAAAACCAAAGACATTATAACGAAAGAAATCATAGACCAGTATCTCTCAGGAACACAGATGCAAAAAATCTTAATACAATGCTAGTAAATCCTACAATGTATAAAAATCTACTATGTATAAAAAGAATTATGTACTAGGACCAAGTGGTATTTATTCCTGATATGCAAGGCTAATGCAACTTTTGAAAATCAGTTCATGTAAGACATTTAGATCAACAGGCTAAAGGAAAAAATCCTATAATAGATGCATAAGAAGCATTTGAAAAAATCCAATACTCATTAATAATAAAAACTCTCAGCAACCTAGGAATGTAGGGGAACTTCTTCAACTTAATTAAAAAATGTCTATGGTCTGGATATGAAGTATCCCTGACTCTACACCCAGTGGTACTATTGAGAACTTCGTCGATGGCTTCCATCCATTGATGAGTTCACAGTCAAATGAGCTTTTATGAGGTGAGGCCTATGTGGAGGAATCAGATCACTGGGGGCATGAATTTGATGGGTGTATCTTGTCCTCGGTCTCCTCTTTTCCATTTTTCTGCTCCCTGGCTGCCATGGGGTGAACAGCTTTCCTCTATCATGCATTCCATTGATGATGCATTATGTTCTGCCTCTACACAAGCCCACAGCAATGGGGCCAAGGTGCCATGAACTGAAACCCCTAAAACTGTGAGCTGAAATAAGTATTTCCCCCTTTAACAGAAAAGCTGACTAACATATCTATCTTTAAAAAATTACATTTAGCCATATACTTAAATGGCAAGAAACTAGATCCTTTCCTGCTAAGATAAGAACAAGGCAAGGGTGTTCCCTCACAGCATTCTTTTTCAGGACAGTAACAGAAATTGTAGCTAATTAAATAAGACAAAAATTTACATCTATCCATCCATTTATAGTAAAGGAAGAAATAAAACTTTGCTCATGGATGGCTTCATTGCCTCTGTACAAAATCCCAAAAAATTAAAAACAAAATCCTGCTAAAACCAATAAACAGTTACAGCATGATTGCAAGATGTAAGGTTAATGTACAAAAGTCCATCACTTTCTTATAAACCAGCAATGAAATTAAAAACACAATATGATTTACATTAGCAACTCCACAAATGAAATGATAGGTATAAATCTAATAAAACATGTACATGAGAAAAATTTACATAACACTGATGAAAAAAGTCAAGGGAAACCTAAATCAATGGAGAGATGTTCCATGTATAGGTATAAGAAGCTGTACATTGTCAGAGGGTTAGTTTTTCCTAACTTTATCTATAGATGTAATACAATCCCAGTGAAATCCCAGCAAACTATTTTGTGGTTATCAATAAACTTATTCTCAAGTTTATACGGAATAGCAAAATCCAGAAAAGGTAAAAGAATACTGAAGAATAAAATGTCAGAGAACTGATAGTACTTTCCTTCAAGACTTATTAAAAGCTCCAGTAATCAAGACTGTGTGCTGATAGCAACACAAAAGATCAATGGGCAGAATAAAGAGCCCAGAAATAGACCTACACAAATATAGTCAACTAATCTTTGACAAAGGAACAAAGGTAATTCAATGTTGAAAGAATAGTCTTTTTGACATCTGGTGTTGAAATAAACTGAACATCCATGTAACAAACAGACCTTAAACTTTTCACTAAAATTAAAATGGATCTCAGGCTAAATATAAACTACAAACAATAATACTCCTAGAAGATGAAATAAAAGAAAATCTAAGGGATCTTGGAGAGTGCCTTTTTATAAGGAAGATCAAAAGCACAAATTATGAAAAAACTAAGTAGGACTTTATTAAAATTAAAAACTTGTGCTCTGTGGAAAAAAAAGACACTATTTAGAGAATGAAACAAGACATGCAGTGAGAGAAAATTTTTCAAAACACATATGATGATGGAGTTGTATCCAAAATATACAGAGGACTCTTAAAACTCAGAAATTTAAAAAGAATGAGCTAGAGGCATGGTTCAAATGGTAGTAAGCCTGCCTAGCAAGTGTGAGGCCCTGTGTTCAAATCCCAGTACCACCAATAAACAATAATAACATAAAAATAAGAAAATTTTCAAATGGGCAAAGGATCTTAACAGAGAATTCACCAAAGAAGATATGCTTATCAGATGGCAGAAATACAAAAAGATGACCAATATCTTTTTATTAGGAAATTGCAAACTGAAACACCTCTACACACCAATTAGAATATCTAAATTTCAAAACACTGACAACATTAAATCCTGGCAAGGATGTAGATCAGTAAGAATTCTCATTTACTGCTTCTGGGCAGGCAAAATGGTAGAGCTACTTTGGAAGACAGTAGCTTTTTTTCATTACAAAACTAAATGTATGGTTATCATACTATCCAGCAACCAAGTTCTCTGTGGTTTGTTTGCCAAATGAGTTGAAAACTACACCAAAACCTGCATACAAATGTTTATAGCAGCTAGCTTTATTCATGACAGTCAATACATGGAAGCAACTAAGATGTGCTTCGATGTGTGAAAACAAATCTCGTTAGAAATCCATACAATGCAGTATTATTCAGCGCTAAAAAGAAATGAGCAATTAAGGCATAGAAAGACATGGAGAAACCTTTAACACATCTAGTAATGTGAGAAGTCAATCTGAAAAGACTATCTATTATAAAAATCCAACTGTATGATACTCTGGAAAAGATAAAACTATGGAGATGATAAAAAGAATAGTGGTTTCCAGGAGTTTGATAGGGAAAATAAATAGGTAGTACACAGATAAATTTTAGAAACCACTTTGTTTAATATTGTAGTGGTGGATATGTTACCACGTATTTGTCAAAGTACACTAAATATATAACACAAAGACTGTACTCTAGTATAAACTATGGATGTTAGCTAATAATCATGATGTTTCAAGGTGATGCATAAATTCTAACAAATATGCCACACTAATATAAGATGTTAGTAAAGCTGGAAATGGATAAGGGAGTATACGAGATATATCTGTCCTGTTAATTAATTTTTGTAAACATTTAATATTTCTAAAAATAAAGCCTATTAAAACTTCAAAAAATAAAAGGACTGCAAAGTAAGAATATTCTATCAGTATAATTTTAGAAAACTTAACTTAAAAATTCTAACAATACTCAAAGATATGAGGTCTCCTAATTTTATATTTATTTTTTTCTGAGTATCAGGCATACATATTTTTAAAAAATGTAAAATAGACATAAATTATAGTATTTTAGTCATTTTGAAGTCTGTATGTTTTTATTAATAAGGAGTAACTTATCACTTACTGTCCCATCTTGGTATTATAGAGTGAAGGCATGGATTACTTGGCTTGATAAAAATGTAACAAAAACAGATCTCCTCTAAAATTATTCTTCCAGAATAACTGGAGCCAGCTTAGGAAGTCTTAATCATTGAAATACAGAGATGCTATTTTTTTGTGCTGATCTAATACATGGAAAGACAATGTCAGACAGAAGACTACTTTGAGAGAGAGTGATCTACAGAATTGGCAGGAAAAAATACTGTCAAGGAATGAAAAGAAGTTTGAAAATAGGAAGTTGATTTTTTAAAAATCAGCAAATGGCTTAGAGGAGGTGTTTTGTTAGTTGAGACTTTTTGTTGCTGTGTCAAATACCTCAGAGAACATTTTAAAATGTTTTTGGTGGTGGTGAGGTTTGAACTTAGGATGTAGCAGTTGCTAGGCAGGCATTCTATCACTTAAGTCACACTCCTAGCTCCAAAGTAACCAGAACAAAATGGACTTGAGATGTGGCTCAAGCAATAGAGCACCTGCCTTGCAAGCACAAAACCCTGGGTTCAAACCCCAATCCCACCAAAAAAAAAAAAAAAAGGAACTGTAAGGCTCATTTATTCTATATGCATTTACAGGCCTGATACGTGCCAAGTACTGCTCTATGAGGGCTGGGATTAGGGAGAGGCAAGTGAAAAGTCTGATGAGGAACTCATTCCCAGTGTCTAGGCACTAAATTAAAGAACAAGACAAGCAACCAATCAAGTGTATTTCATTCACTCTCTTATGTTACCAAGTAGGTGTCTTAAGGATATGTAGAAATCAAAATATGCTGAAAGCTCACCATTGTTTTTTGTCTCAAATCCCAGGCATTAAGTTCAGAAGACAGTTGTTTCCCTGATTTTGCATGACTTTTCACAGCTTTTCTAGAAGGGCTTTTATCACAAACAGCAGTGTTCACATCTTTTGACAATATGTATTTCTTCCTATAGATCAGAGATTCTTCTGTCGTCTTATTTAGGAGAACTGACTTAAAAGTAGTTTCAGATTCAATATGCCAATCACTCTGCTTGGCATTTTCAGTACCTCTCTGCCCCGCACATCTAGGATGATTTTGTTGCTGATTGCTTCTTTTGCAAACTTCTTCTGCTTCATCCATTCTGTTCTGCTCCACTATTTCTGTCTTGTACTTCATCTTTCCTGTTTCTTCAGAATCATCATCAGATATCAATGAGGGTGATTTTTGTTTAGTATGTTTTTTGTTGACACCAATATCTAGTGAGAGAAATTAATTCTTATGAAATGAATGAATTGATAATATCCAAAATTTACTAAAGTGTTTGTTGGACATTTGAGGACATTACTGTTCCACTGAAGTACTATTAAATATAGATAAAATTATGTTTCACCTTGATTAAATGTGTCTCCTGATAAAGTACTTGCTCTTTGGTTATTACACAGTTTAATAGTTGTTACAGGTGTCCAGCATGCCCATTTGGAGTGCATTTTATTTCCACAGATGTCTAAAACACCAGGTAACCTAAAAAATAAATTCATTTGCTTAACATTATAAAACATTATTACATGAATTTCAAGATCTTGTTTTACTTAGTCAATGTTTGTTGAAAACAAATTATGGGAATATTCTCTTAAGTCATGATAAAAATTAAAATTTATTATATAATTGATCAGATTAAAAAACATCAGTGCTACTACTTAGATATCTACCTAATCACATTACAAATCTTAACACAATCAACTGTGAACTTAAACTTAGTTAAATTCACATTCATACTTTATTATTTTAAAAATCGTATTCACTTTAATTCTCAAAACCTGAGCAAAGTTATGCTGGTTGATATGGAGAAAAAGGATAGACTATTCCCCACTGTGGTTATCATAATAATGCTTAAGAGATTATTAATGCTGTAACTAACATTACATTCTAATAATATAAAAGCCTTTTCCTTTAAATATGTTCTAGTCAATGTTAAAAGATAAAAACATGAACATATGCTATGAATATCTCATGTATATATTCTCATACTCACCCAGGTTTATCTATCTTTCCCACTGCCTGTGAATCAGGAATAGCATCCTGGAGTTCGTCTAAATAAAACAAAATGATAGTATTTTCATGTCCTGGCAGAATGACATGGGGGCTAACAGAATTCTACAAAGGCTCACACACTGGGGTGAACAAATTTATCACCGTCACCTCCTCCCTTTCAGACCCAAATTTATCTGGGAGCAGAGGCTGTATTCTATTTCTGAATAATCTCAAATTTCCTCATACAAAGCTGAACATATTAATTATAAATCTCTTTCTCACATCAACGAAAACCAGGAGGTAAAGAGAATTATAGAGAGAAGTTCTTTTTCTCTTTCCTGGCTCTCTCTCCCCACCCCCTATTTTTAAGTGACTAAAATTAAACCAAAATGTGCTTACTGTCATTTGGGTTTGGGAATTCAATGTCCTCTTTTTCTGTCTTTTCTGCAACTTTATCAGCTTTGATATGCTATGAACACGGGGAACATGTTAATGTAAACTTCAATCAAGATATTATATAAAAACAACTTTTAACAGAGTATTAAGGATTAAAAATATAAGTCTGCCTTGCTATGAAAGTTGGATAGTACCTGTATCTATTTCATAAATGTTATGTTCATTCTATTCTAAAACACAAGAAAATAACTTTTACTGCAATCAAGAAGGCAGAAAATTCAAAAACTTCTAGTTCTATCCATAGCTAGAATAATAATTCAATTTTCATTTACTACTGACAACTTCTAGAATCTCCATGGCATAACTCCTCTTGCTACTGATTTCTGTAACCTGCATCTCTATTCTGTCTTTTCCCTAAGTACAAAGAACAGCTGGAAATTATGAAGTATTAAATTATTTAAAATGTTTTGTCATTACCCAGGTAACTTTTTTGGGGGGGGAAGTATGGGGCTTGAACTCAGGGCCTTGAACTTGCTAGGCAGGCACTCTACCACTTGAGCCAACCCTCCATTCCATGCCCAGCTAATTTCTTGCCTGCAGCAAGCTGCCCTCTTTCCACAGCCACTATTCATATTTTACCCAGATCAAATAAAAATCTGTCATCACTATCAGAAAAATATACTGTCTAGCCCAAGATATCTTACCTCACTTTAGCTATTTTTCATATTTACTCCACAAATTTGTATTAAAAAAGACATTAATTTGTATAATAAACTAAATAATGGTAGCACATTCATTCCTCCTAACAAATGTGGAAACTGGAGTTATAGTTAATAGATGTCTCGTTAAGTTTCATTGTAAATACAGTAAATGAGTCATATGCCAGAATGTTCCCCACTTTAGAGGGCAATAAATAATACCTAGAAAAAAATCTAAATTTGTAAACCAAGTAAGATGGTATTTGCAAAGTTAGCTCAATATGTATCTCTATAATACCATGATATTAATTTATTTTAAAAACACTTTCAAAGTTTACTTACTTTGTCTATGTTATTTCCTTTATGACTTCCTTCAGATGGTCCAGATTTAAGGGATATGGTGTTATCCACTCCATTTTCTGATGTTTTAAAAATACCAACTTTTTCTGCAGAACTTATCATTTGAAGAGGTGGCTTAATTTTTCTTTCTTGTGGTGTTGCTAAAAGGAGGACCAAAGTCAGCTGGGTATTTTTCTTTTACTGAGGTACTTTTTAGGTAAGAAAGGTAATTCAGATGAGGAGGATAAAAAGGAAAGTTTTAAGATGGTTCCCAGGTTTCTAGCTTAGACAAATAAGTGAGCATGATGCCATTAAACAAGGCAGGAATTGGAAGAAACTTGTCAAGGGAGGGTAGAAAAACTAAATTGTGGACTTATTAAATTTGAGGAATGTCATGCATTGGGCAATTACCCAACAGGCAACTAGAGTTTTGGAATGGAATGTCAATATTAAATTGTCATAAACACTAAGACTTTATTTAAAATAACTAGCATGCAACATCCATCATTTTACTTTTAACTTTTAGTATGTGCCAAGCACTGTTTAAATGTTTCACAAGATTCTTTGTTGAATGAATGATTTTTACTTAATACTTTAAACAAACTGATGAAATAAACATTTTAGATCCATGTTATAGAAAAAAAAAACCTGGTTCTAAACTTAGCTAGAGGATATTCTGTGCAAAATACAACCCTGGGAGTGAGGAACTAAGCCCCAAACACCTAATTATTAATTCAGTGCTCTTTTTAACTACTATGTTATGCTTAGTCCTTCTTAAATTATTATAAGCTATTAATACATTATTAATATTTTGAAAACTGTTTATATGTCAATATCCATTATAAGCTTCTTTCTTCCCAACAGAAGAAATTTGATTCACATTTTTATCTATTTTTACCTCCTTAACTTATCCTCTAGGTCAATTAGGTACAGAATTTAAACATGCCTCTTTTAAAATATAATACTTATTAAAAATCTTTTAAGACTGTAGAACTTACATGTGTTGATTAAAAGTAATGGACTTCTCGCAGAGTATCTCTCTCCACCAGCAACAATCATTGATGCTTCAGACATTTTTCTTTTGCTAGGAGTAGTTATCTTAAACCATGAGAAACAATCACAGTAAGCACACATTCTCTCTTAAAATTAAGTATCCTATAATTTTACTCAACATTTTGCCTTTATTGTATGCAGAAGACATCTTTAAAAAAAATAAAACACAATGTGCAGAAATTTCTGTGTTTTAGGCTGACTTCTTATGTGTGGCAATGAATAAGTAGCTAAAACAAGTAAGAAATACTGTTTTAAAGAATATTTATAGACTGTCTCAGCTTATGCAATACAGTACTTTTGGATCCTGGTGGGAAATATTTTATAGATACTGAGTTTAGCTAATCAAGTACTTGCAATCTCATATTCTATTTCATGAGGATGAAATAAAGACTTGTATTTTCCCACATCATCCTAAAGTAATCTATAACAGTAGTAAAAAGAAAAAAGCATTACTAAAGTATATAAATAGAAGTAGAGACCACAGGGGACAGGAATTTCAGAGGGTCCATATAAAGGGATATATATGGTGACATACTAAATAGAGGCACAGAAGAGCTGTTTTATAAAAAGGAACCTTCTTCTAAATGAGAGAGGGAAAATGATGGGAGTTGTGGATAGGGATGTAGGGCAGGGTGGGGAGGAAAAAGAGAAATGCTTTTCTCTTTTTAAGTTAATTGAAAAAAGCTTCGGAACCAGATTCTTCTTAAAGAAACTGCAGTTCTTGTTGGCACAGTGAATTAGACCTTAAAAGTTACTTATTCACATACGTGCCTCGAACAGTTAAACTTAAGTAAAAATACAGTATACATTAACAATAGTGTGATGTTTTCCACATTTTAGGTTGCTTAAAGCCTTTCTTAGAGGTTATGATTCAAAAGATTTAAGGTGTGTTTAATAATCAGCATTTTTAGTAAGTACCCAACATGATTCTGATATATTTATAAAAGTACCCAAACTAGCTGTTATAATCTAATTATCTAGGGGAAATAAAAGATATTATTATAAATTTAGTTGAGGACACAGGATAAAGGAGAAAACAGTCACATAAACATGTCAAAATGTATGGAAGAGCCTGTGAGAGTTATAATTGCCTAAAGATGAAAGATTAATAAAAAGTGAAATAGAAAACATTCCATGAAGAAAATTAACTGAGACTTGCATATGTAAGTATGTTTTAAATGAGTGAAAATTAAAACAAGGAATAAACAATATAAATGAAAGTCTAGAAGCAAGAATAAGCATGGCATGCAAAGAGAAGTAAAGCAAACAACTTTACTAAAGTGGAGAATATGCACTATGATTTTAGATAGAGTAAAACTAAATTAAGCAGCTGAGTCAAAATTTACTCAGTAAGTGGGGTAAATATAGAGATAATTAAAGTTTTTGAGCAAAAGAATATGAGGATACTGATATATAAGAAAAATCATTGGTGTACCAGGGGTAGCTCAGCTGATGAAGTAAAGGTCTGAAAGACCAATTAGGAGGCTACTATGTTAACCTAGGTGTGCTGAGGTAAGTAAAGGTAAAGGAATAAGGAAGAAAGTATGTGAGAGATACTATGAAAGGACAATCATTAGTACCTGGGTTATAGATATGTAAGGAGAACAGGCTGGAATCAAGCATATTGACAGAAATATCATTGGTAGTACTACAGAAACACACAAACAGATGCAGAAATGAGGCAAAAAATAAAGTTTTAGGTAAGACTTCAGAAAAATGATTTGAAGAGACATGTAAGAGGAACTTTAAGAAAAGTAGAGATGCAGCCATAGAACTGTGAAGGGAATTCTACATTTTGAGAGCTCAAATTATGCACATTAAAGAATCTCTGCAAGGAAGAAGGCAATGAGATGTTCAGAAAGCCAGATATCAAGCTTTTAAAGTAAATCTATAAAAAGATGGGGAGAGAAATATCTTTAATAGAGAAGAGAAGCTGGAGGAGAAACAGGACGCTAAAAGAGAAGTTGAATAAAGAGAGGACCTTAAGAAAGCCAAGTATGGAAAATAAGGCTGAGAAATGATTCTACTAGATATGGCCTGCAGAAGGTCTTCAATTGAGGAGGAAAAAGAACTTAACACTGCTTTCTTTCGCATGCAAATAAATAGAACATTATAAATTTGTAGTCTACATTATACCAAAGCAAAGACGGATAGAATGGAAACAATGGAAGCTATTCTTCTATAGATCTCTAATTTGTAATTTACAATTGTATAGTATACCTTGTCTTATTGACACATATACTTATTTTGATAAAATGCTATATTCTTTTGTTTGCATTTGCAAAAGATGTGGGGGAGAATTGAAATGCAATTTTTCCAGGCTATTCATATAAAACTCTAAATGGGTTTTTGTATTTATATAAGGCAATAATCTAATCTATGGTAGCAGTTTTATAAACAACTATTTTGACACCATATTTACCTCAACTTGACTATATTTTTTGTCCTCTTCTCTACTGCTTTTGATGTATTTTGCAATTTCCTTTTTGGGGTTAGATTTTTCTTTTAAACTAAGAGGTTCTTCTTCAACTGGAGAGAACTGACTTTCTGGTACTAGAATCTGTTGGAAAATATAGAAAACCCTACTGAAAATCACAGAAAGTTCTCAAAAATTATTGTAAGTCTCAATAAAGTTCCTACTTCATTTCACATTAACAGTTGTTGGCTTCCTTCTATCCCTGGTCTAATTTTTATAAAGTGACCCAACAAAAAGTATCCTCTTTTGCAAACAGGCTTTGCTACTAGTGAAAAGACATTTTTCTAATTTTTAAAGTTACTAATGTTGGTATTTATCAGTAACTCTCTATTCTCTGTACTAAATTTTTCATTAGTAAGTAAAGCAGACGCTTTAATACAGTAACATTTATACTGAGACTATGATTTACAGATATTCACCCTTCAATGGCAAGTTCATTGCTTTTTTTTAAACTGTTAAACGCAGTCCAATGATAAAAGCCAAGTAAGTCAGAGACACACATACCTGTGATCCACTTGCATCAAAAAGTATATGCACAGATGTTTTGGCAACTGAAATACCTTGTTTCCTGGTAAATTCCTAAAATTTAATTAATTCAAAATGATGAAAATTTCATTTTCTTTCAATACAATGCAATTATTTCCTGTTTTCTCCAACAATTGTCAAATTATCTCAAATTATTACTTTGCATATATAAACACCTATCTCAGAACCTTCAATTTCTTCCTGCTAACTAACTAGTCTCCTTAGCTTGCCATTTTGGTCCTTGTACAGGAAGAGTTCCCCTCTGTTCTTCAACATAATCTTTTTACACTATCCAAACTTATCCAAAGAATATCACCCTAAAACATCCCATAAATTGCCTCTTTATATTTTCAGTTAAACAGATCTGGCTATAATAACTTCCACAATCATCGAAAGCATATTACTTAAATTCTATTCTTTAACTTCAAAGACCTTTTCAAGCACCATCTCTACAATAACTCCTTACCTTCAAACCTGATTCTTAAAGAACATTCTCTTCCTTCTATTTCTTTAATTAATTTTCCCTACACCAATTACTTCCTTATTCTGAGTTATCATTTCTGTAATTCTCATGACTTTTAATAATCTTGCTTTGTCTCATTTTACTTTTTAGACACATGGAAGGAATTCATCAAATGTTCTAAACAGCTGTTACCAATTCTGTTACCTGAGATACTTTCTAGGCATCTCAAAAGGTATGGCTAACAAGCTGATGACTATTCCATAGAACAAATGTAAAGAACCAATGTTATTTTAAGAATTCTCTAGAATGGAAAAAAAAGCAAGGAAACTTATAACCTCAAACTGGTTTTCCAGAACTAAAACTACAGTAAATATTTATTTTAAAAAAGTTTAAAAACTTACCCTGTATTTATGTGCACCAAAAAGTTTTTGAGCCACATTAGTGATTTCTAATGATGCATCAAAATACAAAAACAATTCTTTCCCTTCTCTTTTACTAATTTTTACTATATTTTTCAGAATTATAGTCAGTAGCTTCTTTGATTCTCTCACTGTATTAAAAAAACACAATGATTAGTTTATATCAATTTCTATGGTACCATTCTATAAGCATAAATAAAAACATGCAGCACATTAAACTTACTTGAATCAAAATCCAAACCTTTAGAATTGAACAGTGTTTAATCAATTCCAATTCTACCTATGTAAACAAATCAACCTACCTTTCAAAGACTGTGTCCTGATCAATAAAAATTACAAAATTATTCCATAAATAATGAAATAGAACCCAGAATAGGTTTTGTACTCTAACAGATTCTTTACTAGGGCTTGAACTCAAGGCCTTTACCTTGAGCCACTCCACCAGCACTTTTTTGTGATTTTTTTTTTTTTGAGATAGGGTCTTTTGAACTATTTGCCCAGAGTTGGCTCTGAACCTCAATCCTTCTGATCTCCACCTTCTGAGTAGCTAGGATTATAGGCATGAGCCACCAGTGCCTAGCTTCTAACAGATTCTTAATAAAATATTCTTTTAACACATTTAAGAAAGTTATTTTTTTAATTTTAAAAAGACAAAGGTAAATAATTTAAATTCTATATAATTACAATACTTGGACATAAGCATCTATTCAAACATTTCTAGTAAACCTACAGTTGTTATAAATATATTGCTATTAAACAATAACATTAGATGAAACTTAAGTGTCACAAAAGTGTGAGGTGAGAAGGATAGTCTTTATTGTCAATCAATTTATCAATAAAGTGAAAAGAAAATACTATAAATGCCAATCTATAAGAAATGATTATACTCTATCCCCCAGAAAAGTTACCAAAAAACTACCTAGCACCCAATTAACTTGCCTGTATCATGATTAAAGTTCCAGCATCAGGGGCCACCATTCTCCTGTCTTACTACCAAGGGTGCCTACTGTTGAATGAGAAGTCTCCACACCTACCCACAAAGTATACTTTGGGAAAGATTTTCTCCCATTCTATCTCTTCAGTCTGGTGACTGTTTCCTTTGCTGTGCAGAAACTTTTTAGTTCGTGCAGTCCCATTTGCCAGTCCTTTCTCTTAATTGCTGAGCTATTAGAGTTCATTCATAAAGTTATTATCTATGCCTATGTAGTCCAGCATGTTCCCTATTTCTTCCCAGAGTAATTTTACCATTTCAGATCTTACATTAAGATCTTTAATCCACTTTGAACTGATGCTAATACAAAGTGAGAGACTGGGATCTAGTTTCAGTATTCTGCAGGCGAAAATCCAGTTTCCCCAGCTCCATTTGTTGAAGAGGATATCTTTTCTTCAATGCATATTTTGGGATCATCTGACAAGGAATTAATAACCAGAATATACAGAGAGCTCAAAAATCTAACCTCTTAAAGAATCAACAACCCATGGAATAAATGGGCAAATGAACTGAAAAGACAATTCTCAAATGAAGAAGTAAAAATGTCCAATAAACATATGAAGAAATGCTCAGCATCTTAGGCCATAAAGCAAATGCAAATCAAAACAATACTGAGATTCTACCTCATCCCAGTCAAAATGGCGATCATCAGTAATAAACAACAATAAATTCTAGTGAGGATGTGAGGAAAGGAACACTTCTACACTGTTGGTGGGAACGTAAATTAGTGCAATCACTATGGAAAGCAGTATGGAGGTCCCTCAAAAAACTAAAAACAGAACTTCTTTATGATCCAGGGTTACCACTGCTGGGTAAGTATCCAAAGGAATGTGCTCCAGCATATGATAGTCACTTCCCATTCATGTTTATTAAAGCACTATTCACAATAGCCAAACTTTGGAAACAGCCCAAATGCCCCATAACTGGTGAATAAATTAAGAAAATGTGGTATATATACACAATGGAGTTTTATTAATCCATAAAAAAGAATGAAATTATTTTGTTTGCAGGTAAACAGATGGAACTGGAAAACATTATGTTAAGTGCAGTGAGCCTGGCTCAAAAAGTCTTATGTTTTCCCTCATATGTGGAAGCTAGACCTGTAAGTTAAATATATAAATACATACAAACATATATAAATATAATGAGTGAGAGAACAAGGTTGCATTAGTGGGTCTGTCTGAGGGGACTACGGAAGGTGGGAGAAGGAAAGAACATGTTAAAGAATGAATAATATTGTAAAATATAACATTTGTGAAGGTAGAGGATGTAAGGATATGTACTGAAAACTGTTGAAAAATGGCGGGGGGGGGGAGGTAAAGGTGTATGGGAAAGTAATGGAAGGGGCTGAATGGACCAAAGTAAAGTATACCCACAGTGGGGATACATTAAGAAACCCCTTCAAACATTAACTTAAATATTAATAATGAAAGGCAAGACTGTAAAATAGGTATAGTGTGAGTGTGGGAGTAGGGAGGGTGAATAAAGGAGATTAAGGGTATATGGTTGATGGACTTCATATACCTGTACGAAATAGAACAAAGAAACCTGTTGCAATTGCTTTAGGTGGGGCGGGGAGCAGGTTGAGGGGAAGAAACGAAGGCAGCAATGTAATGTACAATATAAGCCTAATCAGAATTGTCACTCTGAATCCCCTACCCCTCAAAAAATGATTAAATACTAATAAAAAAGATTTATTAACAAACTTTTCCAAAAAAAGAAAAATACTGAAACGGCATAATATACTGTATTATATTGGGGAGCATGGTGAAAGAGAGTAAGTAACGGGAGGGGGTTAATTTGATTAAGGCATAATATATATATAAGCCTGAAATACCACAGCAAAACCTTTTTAGACTATCAACATATACTTTTTAGAAAATGAGAGATAGGATGGTAAAATAAGGTCTTCTCCAGGGATGGGTACCAGTAGTAGGGAGGTAGACATAATGGTAAATATGGTGGATTATCTTGCATTCATGTATGAAAGTAAGAATGAAACCTGTTGAAACTGTTCTAAGAAAAGGGGAAGGGAATAAGGGAGAATGGTGCAGGAGGTAAATCTAACTAAGATGTATTGTAAGCACATATATAAACATCACAAGGTATTCCTCTATACAACTATTATGTTAATAAAATGAGTTAAAAAATAAAAGAAAAAAGTATACTTCAGGTCAGGAAGAAAATATTGCGAGGGAGAAGGACCACACAAAGTAGGAAAATTTATCTCTACATCTGAAAAAGCTCTCCAGGATACGCCATGTCTAAGGGGACATAGTCTCTACTGACTATGAAATTCTCTGATTCTTATGAGGATTTCTCAAACAAAAAATGCTTTTCTTTTGCACATATATGGTCCTGAAATTTCCTCAGTAATGCCTTCTGTTGGTACCAAGAACTATTAATTGATTTAAGGTAGTTGTGTAAGAGTTTCTAACTAAAAGTCAGTAGTGCAGTAGTTTACAAAAATCATGTAGGTTTGACAATAACAAATTTTCATGTTTCAAAGATGAAATTTTAGGTGGTTTAAAAAATTATATTTAATGATATTAATGTATTTATAATATTTAAGGTTTTCCCTTTGACATGCATTTGATTTTTTCTGTAGCTTGCTATGTATATTAAATGCATTTGCTTTCATTCTTTGCATGCACATGGCATTAGAATTACATCAAATTTATGATTTTGCTGAATACTTGATACAAAGATTCATCTATATATATAGGGATTTATTGATATTTATATTTTTATTACTTTGTTGAAATTTCTGGCATTTGCTCTGACCAACTGCCTAGACAATACCATGGTTTGCTTTGCTTTTTAATTAGTCAGAAATATTACTGAAATTCCAGAAAACTTCCTGCTTGTTGCTTGTTATGAAATCCAAGTATTTATGGATGTCAACATGTCAGGCTTTTCTAACATAACAAGATATTACCATGGGATTCCAGTATGTGATAATTATGAATATATAATAACATGCTTTATCCTATGATGTCATTTAAAAAATATTTTAATATGTGACTAAAGAGCTTAATTTTTTTATACAAGCAACCTCATGATTTACTTTGTGTTAATCAAATATGGAACAAAGGAGGAAAGGACAAATTCAAAAGGCATTGAGAGGTAGAAATGAATGAACATGGAAAGTTATTAATTGGTAGGAAAAAACAATGACTAATGGCTTCTATATTTGGGGAACCTAACAGATCATCATACCATTTGCTAGGAAACAAAGGAGGGGCTCTTTAGGATAAGATTATGAGTTTAGTTTATAAATGGCCTTTAGATATTTGTGAAAATATCCAAGTTTAATACTTGTACTCACATCTGCATTTGGAGCTCAGATGAAAAATTAGAAAAATATTTAAAAAATAAATTGTGGTCATCAATGTCAAATGTGGGGGGAAGAGGTCTAAGGGCTAAAGTTATGTATACTGATTTTAATTGTAGAAGGATTCATTATTACCTTGACAGTGGAATTTTTTCAGTACAACAGACTTCAATAAGAATAGAAATTGGTAGAAGAGAAGAGTAAAAAATATGTTGGCTATGAATGAAAAAAGAGAGTGCTTGAAGAAGACATAAGATCCAAGTTGGTTTCGTGACCCATTTATATATTCCAGAAAGAGAGAAAAGAGGCACTGAAAGAGAGAAAATATAACATATATGAAAATGGAAATATACAGAATTTCTCTACTTTTTGGGCAACACAGGGATATTGACAGAAGCTCCTTAAAAGACCTATTAGGCTTATCTTGCCTAATTTCTCTGGTTGGACTTCCATTGTATACATGTGCAGAAATATCATATTATACCTCATGAATACATATAAGTCTAAGTGTTAATCAAAAATTTAAAAAGGAACAAGTAATTATTCAATAGCCTCACTGGCTTAGGTACAAAGCAGTGCCTGAAACAGGCTGACTTTAAGCACATAGTTTCCCTGTCAGAACCTTTGCTAGCTTTTGGACTGAGTGGTTGGCAGGCTGGCTTAGAAGCTTCTAAAAGGCAAAACTGTATCTCCCAAAGTATCTCAGGTTCAGAAGAAGAAACCTGGAAGGTTCATAATCAAGAGATTAAAACCACCACCTGAAGAAGGAAAGCAAGTAAGACACAGAGTAAACCCACTAAAACTAAAACCAAACATGGGCTAGCATCATTCATGATTAAAATGATCAGTACTTCTCTGCCTAAGAAGAAAGAGGAAATCTTCTCTGGTGGAAGAACCATCTGGAGCTGCTATGGTTCTTTTATACACAGTATCTATCATAAAGTTACTTGATATGCAAAGACACAATAATATATGACTGATAAAGACAGGAAACAAGAGGCCTTAGATGAAGACCCAAAGATGATTCAGGTGTTAACAGTAGATACTTTATGGTCTTTAAAACAATTATAGCATGTTAAATAGAAAATAGAAATAGGCAAAGTCCTAGAAATGACTTGTTTCAGCAGATTATTATATGAAATCATTTTAAAGACTGACTAAAAGATAAAATTCATTTAAACATAGAGGACATATATGAAAATGTTAAAATATCCTATGATTTGAATATGGTTGGTCCCCACCAAACTCATGTTGAAACTTAATTTCTCAATGCAGCAATGCTTGGCAGTGGGTCCTGGTGGGAAGTGATAAGACTCCTGAAAACTAAGCACTTGTGAAAGGATTAATGTGTGCCCCATGAGTGAGCTCACTCTCACAGCACTGCCAGAGCAGAGTGTTATAAAAATCAGCTTGACTTCCTCAGTTTCTCTTGCTTCTTTTGCCACATGATTCCTTCTGCCTTCCACTGGGAGGCCCTTGCCAGATGCTGACCAGATACAGTCAGTTGATCTTCAGCTTTCCAGCCTCCAAGGACTTTGAGCTAACATGAATCTGTTTTCTTTATACATAATCCAGTTGCAGACATTTTGTTATAGCAATAGGAAACAGACTAAGACACCATGAAATCATTCATAGTGAGAAAAGTGAATACTTCTCTCTCTCTTCCAATACCAGAAATTATGCAAAGATGGTTGCTCTCATAATTTCTATTAACAATGAATAAAAGTTCTTACTGCCAGAGAAGTAATGCAAGAAAGTAGGACTGACCAACTGAAGTACTGGCAAGGATGTAGAGCAACTGGAACTCTTATACATGAGTATTGAAACTTTTAAACAGGTAAAATCACTTTGGCCAAACTTTGAAAGTTTCCTAAGCATATGCCTATGGTATAAAACAACCACTGTATTTTTTACTAAAAAAGAAATAAAAGCTTACGTCAACACAGATAATTATACATATTTACAGCTGCATTTTATAACACTGGGAACATTCTAAATGTCCAACAGGTGACAGCACATGGATTAGCAAATTGAAGTATATCCATACAATAGAAAAAACCACCCACCAATAAAAAAGAATAAACTCTTGAATCTAAAGATATTTTGAAAGAAATTAACCAGACAAAAATTGCTATATAATATGATTCCTTTCATGTAAATTCTAGAAAATGTAAACTTATATGTGGTGAGGAAAACATCAGTGATTGCTTAGGGGTAAGTTAACAGAAGGAATGGATTAAAAGGAGCACAAAGAAATTTGGGGTTGATGGACATGTTATTAACTTGGATTGCCATGATGGTTTCATGTGCAAATACGCCCATGAAAACAAACACATCAGCTTCCTCAGCCTGATAAAGGGTATTCACAAAAACGCTTCAGCTAACATCAGACTTTTACCAGTAAAATATTACATTTTTTCCCCTAGCCAATATCAGGAAGTAGAAAAAGATGGCCATTTTAATATTGTACTGGATACTTGCTAGATTGCAATAAAGAAAAAAAGGAAGAGAGAAAAGGAAATAGAAGAAAGAAATAAAACTATATTTCTATTTAAAGATACCATGACTTACTAGAATATCCTCAGGAATCCATACTACAAGTGCTAGAACTAAACAGTTCTAGCAAGCTTTAACAGTCTAGTACAAGCTTGGCAAGGTTGTAGGATACAAGCCAAATATTCAAAATATAAATTGTGCACTAGTATAAAATATTTGGAAGTTAAATTAAAGGTCAATAATATTTACAATGACATAAGAGTGAATACTATGTCAAAAGACCTCCAAGACTTACATAATGAAAACTGCAAAACAGTTAGTAAAATCAAAAACATAGATAAATGGAGAGATATACCATATTTCTAAACTAACTATTTAATGTGATATTTCTCCCCCTATCTACCTACAACCCAATCCAAATTCCAGCAGGCTTTTTGAAGTAATGATTAACAAATTCTACAAATCATATGGATATTCAAAAGACTTTCTGCTTACAAAACAATCTTGAAAACAACCCCCAATGTTGGAAGACTTATACTAGCTTAAGTTAAGACTAACCATAAATATACAATAATCAAAACATTGTGGTACTAGCAGAAGGAATGTAACTAGATCAAAGGAATAGATTAGAATACCAAGGAATAGGCCCATTCTTATAGAGCCAAATAATCTTTGACAGAGAATCAAAGAAAAATCCAATAGAAGAAAGAAACCCATGTTAGCAAATAATGCTGGAATAACTGCATATCTAGACAAAAATGAACCTCAATTCCTGAATAATTCCATAACCAAATATTAATATGAAGTGGGTCATAATAATAAACACAAAAGCTAAAACCATATAGTATTTACAGAAAAACACCTTTGTAGATTAGGAATAGGCCTTTGAAAGAACCATAAAAGAAAAAAATCTGATCAAGTGAACTTCAAATTTAAAAACTTCTGTTCACCAAAGAAACAATTAAGAAAATGAGTAAGCAAGATATAGACTTAAAGAACAGACCTACCACCGAAAACACCAAAACATACCTGCCAAAGGATTGCCATCCAGTATATATAAGAACTATTGAACCTCAATAATAAAAAAGACAGTCTAGTAAAAAAAATGAATAAAGTATTTAAAAAGATGCTTCATAAAGGAAGATATATGAATAGCCCATAAGCACACGCATGAAAAGTGTTCAATGTCACTGGTCATTAGGAAAATGAAAATAAAACCATAAAGAAATATCACTACATGTCTATTGAAACAGCTAAAGTGTCTTAATATATGTCTGCCAAATTGTATGATTCTGTCCAACAGTGGAATGCAGTTTTCTTTACAGGTGTGAAGAAACTAGATACTTGGATTTAGTCAAGCAAATAGGGTAGAAATGCAAAAGCCTTGAAAATATTGACAAGAGAGTAGTCAGACTGACTAACCATGGCTTGTAGAAAAGAAATAAGAACAGGAGGGAGCTGGGAGATTACAGAGAAAATGTGGGGTAGGAAATTTGATGAATTCATGAGTATGAATACCTGAAAATGTTGGTTTTGTTTTCACTAGTCTACTATTTTGCTATCTCAGATTAGATGAGATTCCATATGACAAGAATCAAGAAGAATCACAAAAAAGTTTAAAGTTTAGTACCTTCAGTGCTATACATCTGAACTTTTTCCTCAGGCACAGTGACTGCTTCCCACTGATGATCCTTAAATATAAAAATAGGCCAAAAGCATAAATATTTTTCCCTGACTTAAAACTTCTTTCAGCACTAATTTTCAGGTTACATAAACTATAAAGGTTATTTTTACTAATATAACTAAGTAACCAGCTTATATATTTTTTGCTCCATCAATTAACTCCATATTGTACATGTTACACTGAATCTATTTACTCGCTCTTAAAAGGGAATGATAATATTAATTTTATAATTTCTTATTCCCAACCAAAAAGTGTGACAATGTGCTAATATTAGGGGATACCCTTTTAAAAAACTGTTACCAAATCTTTTTAATTTTTCCTTTGAAATATCTTGTGAGGTCATACCCATTCCTCAATTCTCACTTCCACTATTTATTCCAGATCTTAAAATCATAACACTCATCAACTGATTAAGAGTAAAACGCTGAATGCCTATGAATAATAGCCTAAAATGTTTGCTCTTCCAAGCATTTTCACTGCTTTCCGAATTAAAATTCAGCTAAAAATATTCTACAAACCTTAAAGGAAAAATATACTAATGAAATTTGTCAGTGCCTTGAGAAGCAGTGCTAGTCACTAGAATTCAACTTTAATTAAGCATTCTAAGAAAGCACTCAACAATTAAAAAGTGAGTGGAAATCCCAAGACGTATTTGGCCAATGTTATTTATAAAGAATTTGCCCGAAAAAAAGCAGGTTTCTATAAGGAAACAGACTAAAAAGACTCAGAGCCTTGTAATATTACCATCCACAACTACATTAGTAAATGCTGATCAACTCTGGACTCAGACACTGGTAAATGTGATCTCAGTGTATGTCAGTGTATCAAATATGAGGTGGTAGCTGAAATATTTTTCTCATGTAATAAACAGGTTAGTAGAAAACTTTCCACCTGGCTGGAAGGTTTAAGGGAGTATGATATAGCATGGAAAGAAACTAAAATTCACTTCCCAATGTAACAAGATTCAATTCCTCACTACTTTCAAAGAGGTTTTATGAGTGAACACAACTATCTCTATAAGTTATTGTTAGTTTTCATAGAGTGAGTCTGTATTTGAGTAGCTGCTATCTTTTTTTTTTTCTCAGTGTGGTGCAAGGGATGGAACCTAGAGCTTTGTCCGTACTAATCAAGCACTCTACCACTGAGCTGCAATCCCAGCCTCCAGTGCTGTCTTTTCTAAGGGTAATTCATTTTGTTCATGTACATATAAAAATTTGTATAATCAATATGTAATTTATTTCTGAAAAGCTTATGTAAAAGTAGTATTAAAATTTAGCATTATTTTTTGTTACAATAAAACATCAGATATAATTTTCATTTTTAATTAGCTTGGCAGGTTACTACATAAATTACAAAGGCTAATACTGAAATATATTAAAAGAATGGCTACAAAAGTAAAGAAATCCACATTCTTAAAGTAAATTAAAAAAAAATTATGCATACATATACATACAGATTAACACAGTGGGACTAAAGCTTACATCACTATCTCCAGCAATGTAGAATGATAGAGTCTGGCTCCCAAGATTAAAATCAATCCAAAATTCCTCAAGTTTTTCATCTGATGGTATTTGCAACTAATAAAATAAATATAAAATTATTATATACTATGCTTATAAAATGAAAATGAAAAATTATGATCAGGTTATACTCAGGGCTGAATATTTTTGGTTTAATTATTTTACTTGACTTTATTTCTGACTCTAGAATCCAGCAATACTATTTTTCTATAAAACAGAGTAAGAGTTCCCTGAATCTTTTTTAAAAGAAAAAAGTTAATTAGAAGGTGAAGAGAATGATTAGAAAAGTATAACATTCAGACAAATTTAAAAACAAAGAAAATGCTATTTCACTATTTTACACAGAAATTAGCTAGCTTCAAGAAATTAAAAACATTCCAAGTGCTAATAGAGGTTGAAAATATTACTTTGAGTATACATTATTGATAAACTAAAAAGGGCTTGATTAAGAAGACAGAAAATGTGGAGAACTACAGCCGTCATATTTCAGTAACGGTTGCCTACAGATACGCTATTTCAAAAAATTATACTGGTGTGGCTCAGTTACAGAATACTAGGAGAGGTTGTATTAGGATCTAATTATAACTATTTTAGTGTTTTATATTAACTTGTAACCCATAATTCACTTAACTCTTGCATCAAAATTTATCTAATAACTAAAACGTGTTAAATTTCAAAGTTACCTCATAGTTATCAAGAAATGCTGACAAACAAGGAAATGTAAAGACTCTGGAATACAAAACATTTTAAGGAAAAAATTAATAAGCCTTCACAGCATAATTCTGTCCAGTCATAGAAATCATCCCTAGAATCAAATGGAAACCAGACATTTGTTTTAACATTTTAAATAAAATCATCTGTCTATCATTTTCTAATTATTGTTTTATTTTTGAAAAGACTTCTCTCTGTTGCCCACGCTGGCCTCAAATTTGAGATCCTTCGGCCTCAGCCTCCTGAGTAGCTGGAATTAGAGACTCATAGCATCATTCTTAGCTATTACTTTTTAAAAACAAGTGCTTAATGGAAATTTGCTTAGGTTTAAAAAAAGCTTATTTCTTTGAGGATACTACTCAAACTATCATTTTGACTAAAGTAATTATGCCAAGATTTTTGAGTAACCTATCAAATATGAGCAGAGAATCCTAATTTTGCTTGTACTATTAATACAAGGAAGTTCCCATAGTATTTAGACAGGAAAAAAGTAGAATTCATAATTTTACTAAATAAAATGGTTAAATTCTTAGAAAGCTTTTGTGGTCAGATACTATTTTAAACACTTCAGTATATTAATTCATTTTACTCTTTACAATAAACATGAGGTAGATATTATTAATACTCTTCTATTATAGCCAAGGAAACTGAGGCAAATCAGGTTAAATGATACCCTCATGTTACAGGAAAAGGAGAATTTATAATTTAAATACAGGTGGTATCACTCCTTGCATGTAACCCTGACACTATTGTTCACTTCCTTAACAAGTAAAGCAAATATAAACTCATTCATCAAGAACATCTATACAGTGCCAGGCACTGAAAATACTACTGTTATGTCATTAAAAATTAATGAGTGAATCATTTCATTCTTCTTCCTGAGGCTAAAATAGTCACAGAAAAATCCTACATATATATGCTAATTACAAATGAGGATGATTTGCTTGCAATATTTTCATTCTACTGTGAAGACAGAGGAGACAGTGTGATAAATATGTATGACTTGAATTTTATTATTGCTCAAACACAAAACAATAATGTATATGCAACTCTGAAATACAGTAAACTAAATTTAGGCATTCAAATTATTAATATGAATGAAATAAAATGCATTTCCCTCTAAGAAATGCAAAGTAAAACAAGGCCATTAGAGGATTATTTCTGATTAACAGTGCAGTAATGGACTAGGTTAAGCTATATGAACCATTGTTTTAAATTAAGTATCAATTTTAGACTCAAACATAATAAGACAAATAGTTATGTTTTTAAAAGGTTCAACACTGGTTGAGTCTGTTTCTCATTAGCAAATGCTTACATGTAGCACTAAGTTTACCTTCTCTTATCTCCAAGCATGCCATTTACCAGGTTGAGAAATATCCTACAATCCTAATTTTAAAAAGAGACAAAGCTTGTTAAAAATCACAAGTAACAAAAATATTTATCAAATTCCATAATTTATCTTCTACTTACTGTTTCAAATTCACAGTCTTTAATTCCTTTAAAAGCATTAACAATAAAATCCATTGAAAACCAGTGACATGCCAGTTCTTGTCTTTGTTTTCCTGTGGTCATTCTACATAAAGCTTCCACAATGCCTACCTGTAATTCATAATCTATAAAAAATTATTAATCAGTGTGTGATCTGAAATTATGAAAATTAACTTCATAAATGTTTTATAGGTTGCAAGCTTTTTAGATGAAGGAAATAGTGTAAAAAATGAAATTTAAAAAAATTAATAAACTCCTAACTATTCAAAAATTAACATTTCATTAGAGTTGTATATTGCAAAATAATTTATACAGTAATATATAAATAATGGAATCCTTGTTTTCCTTTTATATAATATGATGTTTATAGCTAACATGGGTATTTTAAGCCAGGGTTTATTTTTCGATTGAAATCATTGTTTTTAAAATGTCTATCAGGCCTGGGAGTATGGCTCACGCAGCAGAGCACCTGCCATCAAGCATGAGTCTTTTTAATTCAAATACTAAGTATCACTAAAAAAAGTTTATATCAATTCCGACAAAATTAGAACTACTTATTTCATAAAATATCATTGAGCAATATTTTAGCACAAGTAATCCCAATCTCCTGGAAAATTAAGTGATTATTCATAAACTACCATTAGGTACAAATTATCTAACTCATTATATTTAATAACAAATTATTGTTTTGTTCCAAAGATACTCATTTTCATTTATTTATTTTTACTAAAGTAATTTTAAAATTGCTTGATTGTACAGAAATGGCTTATAATTCTTTTGCATAAGCTTAGAACATTATAACGCTAATATCATTTTTAAGATATGTACCATTCATGAATGCTATGCTTGACAAAATGCCTCAAGATGCCAGGAAAATACTTTCTAAATAACTTCAAATCTTGAAAAGATATACCTACCTCCAGCTTCTAAAATTCTTTCTCCCATACTACTCCTGTGAATTAAAATAATAATATATACTGAATTAGTATTTAAATAAAAAATCCATGCATTTGAGGGAGGGGGACTTCTCTAAAATTTATAATTGTCTAGTATCTGACTTCTGGAGGAAATACATTCATCTATTATATCAAAAATTTACAAAGCTTAACAGTTTCACTTATTTAATTCAAACTCGTAGTTGGCTTATTGTCTTATAAAACATTCTTTAAGTTCTTGATTTGAACATGTAATAAAAGCAATATAGTACAAGTTATTACATGAGAGTTAACATATGTTGGTTAGAAAGTATTTTCCTGGCATCTTGAGGCATTTTGTCAAGCATAACATTCATTTTTTTTAAAGTCTGGAAAAGAACGAAAAGAGATCATCAGTTAACTTTATAATTAGTGAAACACTAAGTACTTAGAGAAATAAGCAAGTTAATCTTAGATGCCCAATTTTTGTAATTACTACATTTATGCAGAGACTGGAGTATGTCAAAGGAAAGAGCATCAAGTATAAAATAGTGAATATAAAATGACATAAACCATAGGCTATCCAAAGTAGAATATAGAATGACTCCTGTACTTAAAGTATTTATAACCTTTGAAAAATGATGCATTTACAGTAACTCTATCATAAGATCTAAGGAAGCAAAAAAACCACATTAATTTTTGTTCTTATAATTATATGCATATAAATATATATACAATAGTACAGGTTATGTTGGCATCTAAACACGTCAGAACCCCTAATATCAGGATACTGTTATTTGTTTTCACGAGTTACATGAATACATAAACCCATATAGTTATGAATTTTAAATAAATATTTAGGAAATATATTGTTAGGCAATGAATTCACTGGACAATAGAAATACATTCCAAGAAATTTAGTGCAACATAAAATAATTTTTATTTTGATGAATTGCTATAAAATTTTCTTCACTTTCTCATTTCTAGGTTTCAAAAGATAATGAAATGACTTTACCTCCTGCTGAATACAAATATTCACTCTTGAGTCAATAACCAGGGCACAAATTCGAGGTAAGAAACTTTCCACTACTTGCTTTTTACCTGAATAGAAGTGTTAAATTATTGATAAACATTAATTTTAAATCTTTCAAACATATTCTTAGATGAGGCATTTGTGAAAACTTGCCTCATTAGTTTTTAGTCACATATCTGAAGCACCTGTAAAGACTATCAGTGCATTTTGCCCTCATGAAGCTGTAAATGATTTGAGCCAGCATCGAGCTAAACCATCTGCAATCATTACTAAATCTACTCAGAGGATCCTGCTACATGCCACTCCATCAGGCAGATTTAAAAATGATTTTGAACAATGGAAAGATGGCATCAGCAAATATAAAACGTTACAACATGACTATACTGAAAGAAGAAAAAAATTAATCAGATGAAAAGATAATGATTTACTTTTAAAAATTGATGGATAACTTTATGATTGCTGGTGCTTTTAGGACTGGTTTCTCTCCTAAGAACTTAACTATTTATTCTAGATTGTTATGTCAACTGTAAAAAAAAAAAAAAACACCAAATCAGTGAAAAGGCAGATCAACTACTACTCAAATCATCAATCTGTTTAAAACGTTTTGGCTTTGAATGCTGTGAAGAGCTTTATGTATAAATAATTTACCACCCTCAATTACCAATCCTGGAAAAGTCTTTCTCAACCAACACAAACATAAATCGAATCTGATTGTTTGGCAGAAGACACTTGCTAGCCACACATGAAAGGAAGAGTTGTAACATGTTCTGTAACCTGTTTGCTATAGAAAATTTTATTGCATTAGGTCAAGAGTTGACAAACTGTCACATGAACTAAATCCAACTCACTGTCTATTTTTGTATGGCTAAATTAATCATCAGTAGGTGCTCAGAAAAATACCTGAATCTGTCACGTTTTATTGCCCAAGGTAAACTTCCTTCACTCATGAGTTATTTGAATTTTTGCCAGAAATAGAAGAGGAGGACCCTACCTTGCCCTATCAGACAGCAGTCCAATGGCTTAACAGTGGCAAAGCTTTATTGTGACTTTCATACTCTGGGACAAGAATGAAATTTTCCTGAACAAGAACTGTCCTCGGCCATTATGACTGAATACTGACTGCTTTGGTAACTAGTTTTGCAGCAGAGTTGAGAGTGCTGCTTAATGAATTATAAGACAAAGTAGTACTTGTACGATGACCGTACACTGCAATAGCCGTTTTGATGATGAATAACATCATTGAATGGCAAGTAGTAATACACGCTGCTTTATGTGTTTCCTAGGCTGTCAAAAGTTAAAACAAGAAGCAGATCTTCATTCTCACACAGATTTACAGGGATGTATTTTTTCCAAGCTCCAATTGCAGGTCCAGCAATTATTTTCAGACCTTGATGTTAGTGCAAAGAAAATTTCCATATTTCAAAATCCAGTTAGTTGTACAACTAACTTTCTCATAGCCTGCAACTGTAAGTGATTAGTCTCTAATGCAATGACATTCTAAAAGGCAAATATCTGTAAAAGAACTAACAGAATTCAATCAATGTCTTTTGAGCAATGAAGAAGCCCAATTAAGAACATCCTCATGAATGCTGATACCAGTATTTGGCACTGTTTGCATGAGAAGGCAGTTTCTAGTGTGACTTATGTAAAATTTCATTACAAATTTAAACATTAGCAAATGAACACTTATCATCAACTTTGAAAACTCTGAACCCTAATTACGTAAGTTATATTTCCTCAAAAAATGCTATTTTCATTAGTAGACCAATATTACTAAAAATTATATTCTCAACTGCATGAACAAAACATGTTAGAACTTTGTTTTCTTTCTTACTATATAAGTACCTATATAATATTCACAGTGTTTTTCACTTGGTCTATAAAATCTATAATTTTACTATCTGACCCTTTATGGAAAAGATTTGTTGATTCTTGAATTAGATGATGAGTTCCTTATATTAGGTCAATGTTATAGGGATTACAAAACTATATTAAAAATCTAAGAGCAAATTATTATTCCAACATAAATGTTTATTTACCTTCATCACTGATGTCATACAGGACCTAAAAAAGTGAGTAATATTCAATTAACGATTTGCTATCTTCTATGACAAACCATTACAAATGGCAATAAAATGGGCTTATATTTTAATTCATAGCATAATTATTTAACTTTGTAATTAACCAAGTGTTTAATATTAACAAGTTTAAATGCTTTAAGCTATCTAACATACTAACCAGTATGTTAGTGATTCTTAGGATCAAAGAATAGAGAATACAAAGAGTTTTCTCAATAAACACGTTTTATAACATCAGTTAATAAATATGATTTTTACCATCAAAAGATCAAGTAAGTCTTCTATCATATTTATAACAGCTTCATCTTTTGAATTTCCTCGGCTCAGTATAATCTCCTTGGATTTTTCAAACCAGGTAACCATGTAAATAATAAATGTACATATTAGTTATTTTGAATTCCATGTTAATAGTTTAAAAATATTTATCTGTATTTGAATAAAAGACAAAGCTAGAAATAATGAGACATTAAAAATACTAATTCCAGTATTATTTAAAAACAAGATTACACTTTGCTTTCTGGAGACAGAGTCTCACTATGTACCTACAACTGGTCTCAACTCTTCAATCCTCCTGCCTTGGTCTCCTGGGTGCTGAGATTACAGGCATGAACCATCATGCCCCAGTTAAGATTACACTTCTGGACATCCTCCTTGCTTTTCTTTTTTTGGTTAATATTTTCTTGTTGTTTAAGATGTGAATGAATGTAGTTAATCTTAATTCAGGCAAAAGACCCTTATTTCTATTTTTAAATTCCTAGTTTAACTAGAGTATGTTTTATGTGTTCTTTAAAAATTATTGTAATTTAAAGCATTGTAACAGTTTCATTATCTTCTTAAAATCACTCCAATACCCACTTACTGAATATCTCAGCATTCAGTGATTCAAAAATAACACTTTTAATAATACATCCTCTGTCCCAGTGACACATCTCATTTGTCTTTGTGCTTTCTAAAACCCCAAAGAAATTTTTATCAATAAGGTTTAACTAATTGGATCCTGAGTAAATATTATATCATTTGTTCATAACATGTTCATTGCTCATTCATTCAAAATAAATATTTTAAAGTAAAAAAAAAATTAAAAAAAAAAATTCCTAGTTTAGATACTTGAAACAAAATATCATGACACTTTATTTTGGTATCATTACTATTTAAAAAGTCTTAATATTATTTTACCTTAGTCAATTAATTCAGATATGAGTACATACTATGCTCCAAATATTATTCTACATGCTGGCTATACAGAAATGAATAAAAACACAAAAACCAATATCCTATATTTTCATATATGAGACAGTAAGCAATATAAAAAATAAAATTAGTAATTAAAATGAGCTAAAGAAAAAATAAAGCATATAAAGGCCTAGAAGAATCTTGAGACCTTAACTCCACACGATTACAGTGACTTTACATACTATGTTTCCTTGGGATCTTTATCTTTGTAGTATATGCCGCAAGTTATAAAAGATTTATTTTATTCTCAAAATTCAATCTAGAACTTCCTACATTACTTTTCAACACTTTGGGCCATTTTTTATTTTAATAGAAAGCATGCAGTTTTATATTTTCTCTCACACAAGTATGTTACATATTCTGTACTTATCTTTTGAACTAGTCCTTGTTTTATCATGGTTAGAAGTCCAGGTTGTCCCAATATACTGATATTTTTACCACATCTTACAACAGAAACCAGAATGGTTGAAATGTTTTGAATATCCTTTTTACTAAGTTCCTAAAATAAAGAGTATACATTTAAACTTCTGAAAATACAAAACAGTATGGAGCATTAGGCACATATTTCTAATCTTCATGAATCCTGAATCATTATCATCACCTCCCTGAAAGGATGAAAGTGTGAATCACTAAAGCAACCTGCCCCAAACCACCTAGCTAATGAATGACAAACTTAGGGCAAAATTTAAGATCTGCATAAAAATCAAGAAACTTTAGAATGGTATCAGTTCCCTTCCATTCTTAAAAGTTTCTTATATTTAATGAATCCAAGAAATTCTTATTCAATTGTAGGATAAGAAAATTTGGATATTGGGGGAGACTGGCAGCAATCACCTTTACTCAAATATGAAAATGCTTCAGATATGCTAAATCAAATTGAGAGACTTGGATTTGGGTTTTTTTTTTTTTTGCAAGTACCAAACATTGTGTCATATCAAAAATATGCTGATGGGTTGTTTAAAACAAAGAGCAAGTTGCTTAAAATTCAGATAGGTAAGCTGCTTTCCTCCAGTTTATCTAATACCTAATAATGGTAACTCTACGTAAACACAAATTTTGTATATAATTATAAGCAAGCTTGCTAAAACCTTTATCTTCATTATTAATAATGGAGCACTTCTTTCTAGAAAATAAAATTCAGTGTAATAATTTTAAGAACCATTCAGCAAAAATATTTACCCTGCATATAAGGTCATCAAATTTGTGGAAAAATTGTTTGCTGCATTTAATCTTCACATCTTCACAAACATCAATTTGTAAAAGCGTTTTCAAAGGTTTGAAATCACTTTTTCGTAAAGCATCATCAATGCATTTTTCTAACTGCTAGAAAAATACAGTTAACAGTACATAATGAATCAAAACCAAAATGAGTCACCTCTGTAATCTAGTAATTTGAGAACTGGTTTCACATAAAAACTATACAATGAGCTAAAAAATATGAATTCATTTAAAAAAAATCCCCTCTATTCAATTTGGAGCAACTGAGTTACCTGATAACAAGACTTTAATAGGAAAGTCAAATTTTACTAGTATTTCCAATTCTTATTCAGATGTATTGTTAAAGTCCTCATGTCAAACACAAGAACTTGATGAAAAATGTAAAATCAACTTTAGAGTAACTATATCTGATACCTCGATAAAAGCCCAGCACCTCTCTATTTTTTTGCAGTACTGAAGTTCAAACTCAGGGCCTTGAGTTTGCTAGGCCAGTGCTGAACCACTTGATCCATGTACTCAGTTCTTTTGCTTTAGGTGGTTTTTTTTTTCAGATTTTCTTGTGGTTTTGCCTGGGCCAGACTTGGACTGGGATCCTCCTACCCTCCCAAATAGCTGAGATTATGGTCGAGCACCACCACACCAGCTGCAATGCTAAGTTCTTAACAGGGTTTAAAGAAACTTTTATAAATACTAACAAAAACACCTTGAAAGAACTATACCAACTAATATAACTGAAGCATTACCCAAATATAATATTTATAACCTGTATAAACCTGCCATCCCTATTAAAGTACATTGTCAGTAATTAGGAGTTTTCCAACTGCAATTGGATCACTAATCAATCTTGTAGTGAAATACATATTAAACATATACATTAAAACCTATTTTTTATCTAAATATAAGTATCCTGCAATTTGAAAATGTTGATAAAAATATCCAGGCATAATACATTGAACAGTACATACTTTTTTTTTCAATGTAGAAAATACGAAGACTCAGTTTAATATTTTATACAGCATTTGGAAATGTATCTATTGACTAAATGAAAGTATATTTTTAAATTACTCTTGACCATTTCCTAAAACATGTAGGCTTTGCAATTGCTAACGATATAGTAATGAGTACTTATAAACACAAAGTGATCTTAGGAATTAAAGCAATTCCTTTGGTACAGGACTACATACTTGGAGATCTGGTCTTATTGGCATTTTGACTTCGTTTAAAAACAACAGGACAAAAGAAATGCCTATAAAAGAAAACATTTTCGGTATCTTACAATCTGTTCCATGCCATGTAGCTTCCTTTTAAAATGCTTAGCACACTATACACAAACATTGCGGGTTACACCAAACGGAATACTTGAAAAATCCTTCACTGAATGCATTTCACACCTTTTCATCAAAACACACCTCTAGCGAAAGCTAGCGAGCTTGAAGACCATTCACTCCAGCCCTGTTTTCACACATTGGTAAAATTAATGCCAAAATTCCTGCTGAAAGGTCACGAACGAAACTAGTGAAAGAACACGAGCCAGACCTCCCTCACCAGGGATTCCTGCCACACTTGTTCACTCTTGGAAACAAGAAAAACTCTCGACTCAGTGGCCGAACGCAATGGGCAATTAATGACACACGGGAGGGACGAACACGCACGTGCCCGGCCACAGAACGGCTCCACCAGAACGCGCGCTCGCCCCGTGCACGCGCACCCTCTCGGGCACGCGCCCGGGGCCTGGCGACGTGGGCGCGCTCCGCATGCGCAGTGCGCGTTGAGGAAAAAAGGGGACCCGTCCTGGCCGGCCGCCCAAATCTCGGGGTGCTGTTCCAGGGGTGTCTCTAAAGACATGGGCTCGCGTGCAACGAACGCACGCCTCTCTTCTTCCTTTCTCTGCCTCCCACCTTTAAAAATTTTTTTGAAACCTCATTCCTTGACGCCATTTCAGGACTGCGAGCACAAAGCTCAGCCTCCTTCCCCACCGACTTGTCGTGTCCCTCCCGTTCCCAGTCACCGTCACGCACACGAGGCCCCTTTATGGGTCCTCTGCTCTGCTATGTAGCATTTCCCTGTCCAAGAAGCAGCTTTGCCGCCGGGCAGGCCGCCATGGCAGAACCGAGGCCACAAGGAGTGGGAAGGGAAGGCGGACTCCGCGCGGTCGGCGGCCATCTTGGGCCGCGACGCCTCACCCGCCGCCCCGCGAGCCGCCCCGGCTCCCGCCTCCGCCCGCCCCGCCGCCATTCCCGCCGCGAGCCTGGCCCCGGCGTCTCCCCTCGGCACGTGGGGTGCCCGACCCAAGGCCTGGGAGGCCCGTCCCTCCATCCCGCCCGACCTGCCGGCTGAGGAGGCCTCCGCGTCCGCCGCCTCCTCCGCCGACACTGAGCGTCCACTGAGCTCCGCTAGAGAAGCAGCGGCGCCTCTGCGGCTGTGGAAAGGCGGGAAGTACACGTCCAATGGGCGACGCGTCTCGCCAGCCGCGTACCCAATCGGAGACGCCAGGCGGCCAGGCCCCGCCCCCTCCTGGGTCCGGGGGGGCGGGGTCACCTAGGCCTGAGCCGGGGCAGCAGCGGCGGCGGCGGCGCCGAGGACGGGCAGGACATGGCGTCAGGAGAGTGAGCCCTGCGTAGGCCCAGCAAACCTGCGCGCCCTGCGCTGGCCGGGGAGCGCGCCGGGAGGGCACCGGCAGCCACGCTGGCCCTGCGCGCCGGGGCGGGGAACGCAGCCGGCCGGCAGGGGGCGCCGCGGGCCGAGCGCCTGCAGGGGGAGGCCGGGACTGCGTCCCAGCGCCCCGCGCTCCGAGCCGGGCCCCGGGCCCAGGAAGCGCCGCGCCGACCTCGGTCCTCGGTCCGCCCCGCCCCACCCCAGCGTCGCGGGGCTGCGGGAGCGGCGTCCGAGGCGCCCGGGGGAACGGGCGGAGGCCTTCGGTCCTGCACTGGGGCGCCCGGGGCCCCGGCTGGCGGGGAGGAAGGGGGGCGGGGTGCACGGGTTCGAATCCCGCGTCCGCAAGTGTGCGTGTTTATATAAAATGTACGTTCACGTGCAGATACGTAAAAATGTGTATTTTTGTGTACTTATATAAAATGTGTACTATATGCGTGTATTTATATAAAATTATAAGTACTTGCTTTTGTAAACGTGTATGTACACGTGTTTATATAAAATTATAAATACGTCTTTATAAATGTATATGTACACGTGTGTTTATATATACACGTGTGTGTATATGTGCACTTGTGTATGTGCACTTGTATATGGGTGCTGGGTTGTGATTTAAGTGTACGGTGCAGAGCACTTGGAAAAAAGGAACAAAGGATAAAGGAATGGAAACTCACTGGAGGACCAAGTCAAATTATGTGCTCAGATAAACTCTGAAGTGTTTTTGATACTCTAATTAGCTACGATTACATATTCCCTGGCAATTTTATGCCTCATTGACCTTAATTTTGACGGTCCTGGGGCTTGAACTCAGGTCCTCTGGCTGCACGTGCCTCTGCCACTTGACCACGCCCTGCAGGACTTTCGATTTGCGTCTCCAGATTTTGCCCTGGCCGACCTACAGTGGAAATCCTCCCATTGTTAACTTTTAAGTTCAGTTTACAAACTGCGTATGCAACTGACAGGGATTTCATAGGTTTAAATGCTTCTGTATTGGGGTATTGTACATATTCACAGTTTTCAGTGCTTGGGAGTTATTTGCAGATGGAAGCATCAATACTGTGTAACAGAAAATATAAGCTCATAGCATGCTTCAGCCTCGTGCCCTGGCAGGCTTCCATCGTAATTCTTTTCACATTTAGCCTTCTTCCAGCAGAGTTAACATCCCTCGTGGAGTTGTTGAATGCACTGATGTTTTGCTGGTACACACTAAAAATGAGCAGTACTGATTTCTCATCTTGCCACTTTTTAGAAGAGACAGAAATGTTAGGGCCTTGTTTATCACTTCATGTGTTGAGAAAGCCTAGGGATTATTCAGCAAGAAGTGAGTATCACTCATTTTAATCCTGTTTACATTGTGCTGTTGGAAGGAAAACCTTACTAGTCTCAATCAAAATTTAGTGTTCAAGTACATCTTTTTCCTGCCATGCCAAGGATTGAACCCATAGCCTTGTGCATGCTAGGCATGCACTCTTACTACTGAACTGTACCCCAAGCCCCTCTCAATTAAATCTGACAGGCACACGTTGGAGACTTGTGTACACTACCACGTGGCAGAGAGAACATGGGGTTTGGTATAGGTCTGAGTGCTGAATTTGCTACCAACCTGCTGTAGATTTCTTAAGCCTCTCTGAGTTTCAGACTCTTCAGCTAAGAAAGTGGGAACATTATCAGATAGCGTATTTTCCACAATTAATTGAAATCATACACTTAAAGCACCTCACACTTTGGCCAAGCAAGTAAGACAGGGCATGTAAGGCTCTGTACTTGTCTGAGAGTCACCACCTGGTGACAGGGTAGACATACACTATTCCAAACAGGGAGTCAGAGAGTGTCACAGCCTGGTACTGTCAGAGCCCCTGAGCTCCACTAGAGTGTTCTTCTCATGTACCCCTGACCTGGAATGTAAGATAGCACCCATCCCTACAGAAGCTCAGCTGCCATACCATTCCTTAGCAAGGCCCTAAGTTCCTCACTGCTTAGGGACGGGAGACTCATAGGTGGGGTGAATTAAACAATCAAAAGTCCCAAACTTTGTCTTCTGTCATTAGACCACGAGAAAATCACACTCCAGCTTAATAAGGCAGAGACATTTCTGCATTCTGCATATACTTTAATGTTCAGAGTTGGGTAAAACCATTTTAAATGACAGACGTTAAATATGTTTGGGGAGACAACCCAGCAATTGCACAATCCACAAAATTTTAGCATCTAAGCAATACAACTGTTTCAGGATCTGAAAGTTCCGTTTAACTGTCTTACAGGTTCTTTATTAACCAGGCAAAATCTACTTCAGCTTTTAAGTCTCAAAATGTTGATATTTGTAAAAAGGCACCTCGAGGTTCTCTTAATTTTGACACTATAGCATGTACTTTATTCTGTGACTAGAACCTTTTTGGCCAGTGACTTTCACATAGATTGTGAAATTCTCCACATGCTTTTAAACAACAATACATTAAGCAGCTCTAACTTGTACCTGAAAAGTTTGGACACTTGTCTTGCCCTCTGGGCTGGGGCCAGGGAAACAGCAGTCAAGGCCCTCAGGCATGCTGACCTAATTGGACAGTTTGTTGAGCAGCAGGAAATGCAACCAAGCTTCTTTCTCTCTTACATGTCAATGTGGTACATGGTCCTCAACGTCAAAGGCTGGGCGATTCGATCACGGTGTTTTAAATCAAAATTAGGTGTTCTTAGACCAAAAATTACCAAATAAAGCCAGCACTGTTCTTGGAACTATAAAACACAGCGATTGTAATTATCAGAAGCAATCGGTTAAAGGGCAAAATGCATCTTTCTGAGACTGACCTGACAAATGTCAGCAGCGCTCCAAAACTTAAGAATCAACTCAGGGCAACAGCTGCGACAAAATTGACCAAAGTGCATCAAAAGCAAACGTCATGCTTGAAAGTCTCATCCATCTTGGCTGTTTTTTCATACCTCTGTTCTAGCACCTGCTTTGCAAGACAGCATGGCTCAGCACCAAAAGGACTAATCAGCCCCTCAGTGAGAGTCTTAAGCAACAGAGGCATACTGCAAAGGAACAGTGGTCTTGATTCTTTGGAGGATTTCTTTTTCTAAAAAACCCAGCATTTAGCGTTTTAACCTGGGACACAAGTCCACAAAATGTTAGAGGTTCTACTGTCTGAAGGCACAAAGAATAAAGTTGGAAGGTAGCTGACAAAACAATTTAGGAGAATAAAGTTTGTGAGTTATTTTTCCTCCAATGCTCTGGCTAATGCTGAAAACATTTTCTAGTTCCATTTGGTAACTGGACTTCCAAGAGACGAATGCCGGAGTCTACTGATGCTTAAGAAGAAATAAAAAAGTCACCTTAATCATCCAGAAGGTAACTGCAAAGGACACTGTTGCCTGAAACTCTGGGCCACCTGAAAGTTGAAATAACTTAAGGCAAGACTTCTTAAAAAGTTTAGGTAGTATCAAACCTAAACAGAATGGCCTAACAATGTATAGATACAGACCTTATTATCAACATACACGGGAAATAACATGACATGAGAACAGTGACTGCAGAGAGAGGACTGGCTACTTGTAAAGTGGAAAGGTTTTCCCTCCTCAGCTGTTGATGTTGGAAACACAAGGCCTAAGTAGGGCACCCTCAAAGTTCAGAAATGGTTGTGTGATGACTGATGAGGCCTAAATTTCTTGCCTATTAATAGTTTCCATGTTAGAAGGCTTACAGACATTGGCAGGCCAGCGTGGTCTCAAATTTTCCTTCTCCCTGGGCAGGAATGCCTTACGGTACCATGATGCAGGTGACACTGTACATTTTGTTTACAATGGGCACAAACACACAACAGGACTAGTTTTTAGCCTCATTATGTCCAAAACATTCCTGAGAAGCATCCACTACGGGTGGAAAGTCCCACCATCACAATGATAAATAACTAGGATTAGAGACACATTTAGGACACATGCAGAAGGCCTTTCCCAGTAGGAGGCATACCTCTCCAAAACACAGCTTGGGCCGTCAAGGAAGCCCACGTTCCCACGCATCTGCCCCCTGTCCCCGCAACACCCTCCCCCAACGCACTGCACAAGGTACAGGGCCTCCTGAAGCTGCTTTGTAGACCCGGTGACATAGACGCTCCAAGTACAAGACAGGACGGGTCACTGCCAGGGCCCTTGTAGCAACAAAGGAGGTCAAACAACTTGACGGGTGGCATGGGGTGGGAGAAGAACCACCCAGCTCCGAGGCCTGGCCCGAAGTGGCTGCAGGTCGCCGGGCACTCTTTCCAGGTGGGCGGCCGCAGCTCAGATGAAGTGGATCCAGCTCTCCTCACACTCCCCGCGCGGCATGTGCAGCGCGTGGTTGCGGCACGTGAGGCTGTAGTCGTGGCGGTCGTTGTTGTCCCAGTGCTCGGCACCCGCCACTCGGTAGCGCAGTGCGAAGTGCACTCGGGAGCCCAGCTGAAGCAGGAAGGGCGGCACCGGGAAGCCGAAGGCGAAGACATCCTCGGTGCCCTGCGCGCCGGCTGGGCCGCGCCACCTCGCCAGCACCTCGTGCGCGCTGCGCCAGCCGGAGAAGGTGTAGCGCACCGCCACCTGCTTTTCAAAGGCCACATTGCGCACGCGCACCGTACCACTGACGCCCAGGTCGGAGCAGGTGACACGCTCCAGGCACACGAGCTGCCGCGCGAGGCGCTCGCCAAAGTCCGCAGCCTCGATGGGCGGCGGGAAGTCAGGCACTAGGCACTGCATGGTGAACTCCAGGTCCTGGCTGCTGCAGCACAGATCCGAGTTGATGGCGAGCCGCGACAGCACGTGCAGCGGCACCGACGGGTCGTCTGCCACGTTGAACACCTTGACCTGAGCCAGCTCCAGGCCCAGCGCGTCGGCGAAGCGCACGCGATGCTGCCGGCTGCATCCGGGCCGGCACCCGGCGCCCGGCGCGCCCGCGGCCTTCTGGCGGCGCTCGGGTGAGCTGGGCAGCGAGCGCGCTCGCCGCAGGATGATGGGCCGCAGCCGGGGATCGCAGCCCGACGGCGCGGGCGCCAGAGGAGGCGCACGGCCGGGGCTCCCCGGGGGCCTACAGAGCCGCGGCTCCAGGCCCGCGTGGCCGTCCAGGTCCGAAACGCAGCTGAGGCTCCGGGGGGCGGGCTTCCGGGACCCCGGGGCTGTGGGTAACACCACAGAGTCCCTGCCTCTGGACATGGCCCAGCCGGTGGTAATCAGGAGGAGGGAGGCAGAACCGAGGGGCACCCTGTGCCAGTTCTCTCGGTTGTCACGGCCAGGCTCAGAAGCCGCTCCGGGCTCGCGGGATCTGCAACCTGCGGGGGCCCCTGGGGGTTCGCCGCGCCCTCCCCTCGACCCTCACCTTGCCCCTCGGGTCTTCGCCTAGGACCTCCGCTTCTTGCAGAGTTTCCAGAGGGACCAGTGCTTCTCCAAGGGAGCTTTTCGGGGTCACAGCAGAAGGGTGGCGCCTCGGTTTTCACTCGTTGGAGGGCTTACAGGAAGGCTGCGTTTCCAGAGGGCCCCTCCCACCTCCCGTTCTGCGAGGATACTTACAAGACTGCAACTCGACCAGGCGCAACTTCCCGGCGCGCCTCCGCCACGCCACGCCCCGCCCCGCGTGACGCCGCCCGGGCGGGCCCAGCCGACCGCGCGCAGCCGGAGCCCGGGAGCCCCCGCCGCTCGCCCGCGCCCAGCCGCAGCGCGCCGCAGTCCGTCTCCGTGCGCGCCGGGAGCCAGCGGGCTGAGACCTCGTCACGTGCGCCTGGCCGCTGCCGAACAGGTCTGATCGATTTCTGTCTGCGACTGCTGGGCCGCGCGCCTATCGATCAAGTATGGTACCTGCACTGACGGAGGACGAGGAAAATGCATGCTGCGGGTTCTTGGAATTCGGGGCTCACCGGGGTGGGGAGAGGGAGGGCAGAGCCCAGCTTTGCTGCGAGTTGGACCCAGGCTGATGGTAAGCGTCTGGCCAGCCAGCTCTGTGGACTTATTCCCTGCAACCTGGACCCGCGGCCGGGCTCGGGAAGTCTCACTGCGTAGAGAAGCGTCATGCCCACACATCCCCACAATGCTTTGCCGCCCCAATGGCCAGCCAGCCAGTTCCTGGGGTGTGTTTGGCGGCGGAGGGGGTGCGGGGGAGGGGGCGGATGTGCTGCCTCTGTCTGCCCAGGCGCACAGCCAGAGAGGAAGACTTGGGAACAAGAGTTAATGTCCTATGATGAATTATGCAGCTGCCCAAAGTCAGCCTCTGGAGCTTGGGGAGTATTTTTGCAGCCAGAATCCCTTTTAGCTTTCCTTCTATGTAAGCCGGGGAGACTGGGAGTTTGTTTTCTGCACCCTTAGGACCCTGCAGGCATTCATGTCTCCCAGTGACTTCCTGCGGAAATCGCAGCCCTTGGTGTCAGGCTTGGCAAGTGGAATGAAAGGAAGAGGATGCAAGTGCAGGGTCTGGGGAAAGACGTTCAGGCCAGGCATTCCTTCCCTGCTTCTTTTTACTGTCAGGGGACAAAGTAAAAAGAAAGCCAGGTGCATGAAAGAGGGTTAGTAAAGAACATTTTCTGCATCTAAAAGAAGTCAAGCCTGTTGATTATGGTATAAGTAATTAATTGTGCGAGCCCATGTGCAGTTTCAGTCCCCACAGTATGTAAACTGAGTTTAAAAAAAGGCTTGCATGACTATGATGGAAAAATACAAGAACATTTCAGAAAGAAATTATAATCTTGCGTAACCCCATCTCATTTCCATTTTGCAGAGACTAGGTATTATGGGAGAGAGAAGTATTCAGTGTCTAGTCAGGGCTCCTTGGATAGGCCCTTCAGAATGCCAGCAGAATCACAGTGGTGTGGTCTTGTACCTGATATCTACTCTGAAAAACAAATACGCACAAAAAGACTAAACTGTACACATAATATTTTCCTTGTAGTATTTTTACACTTTGGAGTACTAACCACAAGCTTCAGTGTTTCAGTACATTGTAAGTACTAAAAACAAATGAGAAACCAACCCAGTACTGGTAATCCGACCATTCGCAATCACAACTTACGGTCAGTGTTGCTGTTACTTCTAGTTCCGGTGGTAAGCTGTCTTTTCCAAAGAGAAGAGGAATAAAGAAGTCACCTCCCCAGCTGTCATCATCTTCCCACAGATTGAGCAAGAATATTTTGACCACTACAGAAAAGGTGATGTAAACTTTGAAAGAAAACCTTACTTAGATTTGTGCTTTTTTGTTTTGTTACTGTGTGCTTCCTCTGTGTGTATGTGTTCTCAGTGTTTATTACTGACTGTCTGTATTTTAGGCATTCCATCAAACCTTAGATGATGACCAACCATGTGATTTTTTCAAGACAAGGCATAGGATGAATGAATCTCATCAAAAAAGCAGGTAAACGGTTTTCACATGATTGCTTTATCTTGCGAAAGGTACATTACCTCAGTTCTCTGGATTAAATGTATGATTAGGAAGAAATGTCTGTGGATAAGAAGTGTCTACTTACATTTTTATCTAGCAGAAAGAAGCGGCCAGCATGGCTTTAAGCATTGTTAGCTGGTGGATCCTGAGGTCATAATCTGCTCACCTTTCAATTTTGGCCTCCTTCTACGTGGAGGAGATAGTGTCAGTGGTCATCTTTTGTGGCTGTGCACTGCAGCTGGCTGGACGCAGAAGTCAAAAGTGTTGGCTGTAAATGCCAACAATGGCCATGGCAGCATTCCTTTCCTTACTCATTTGCATTTATTGAACACCTATTGTGCTATTGGCAATTACATAATATACTCTGTGTATTAATTAAGGCTAGCACATTTTCAAATAGTCACTGCTTGAAATCACTGGACAGATGACTCTGAGCTTTCTGGAAAGCATTAACCCCCATTTCTGCTCACTCCATCTGACTTCTATTGTAGATAGGTATTACTAACTTTAGTTAAACTCTGCGTTATTGGGAAATAAATTGAAAAAAAGGTATTTTCAACTCCAGAAAGGATCCACTGCTGTATTAGTAATACATGCCGTTTTTATTGTCTCCCTTTGCTTGCCTTCCATAAGATAGCATTGACCCCACTTCCATTCGTACTGAATGATAATGGCGCCAAATGATTTTATTTCATTCTTTGTAAACACTACTTTCCTGAGTGTGTTTCCTGCTTGAAAACATCTGAGTAAGACTTTTGGTTTGAGGTGTAGGTGGCATATGCTGTGCTTTTCTATATTAAGATTTTTAGTTATGTCAGTATCACTACCAAATCAGTGATTAAGCTATGTAAAGCTTGCATTTTGCATTGTGTTCAAATTTCTCTAAATCAGGTAGGTAAGAGAGGGCTGTATGCTTTACTACTGAATGTTTTTAAATACAGTTGACCGTTAGCAGAACAGACCAAGAGTTCCGTGACAGATTTTTTTCAAACTAATTCTTTGTAATGTATACATAGTTGGTCTAAAATTATAAAACAGTTACTTAGAGAAATTTCAGTGTTTCCTTCCTTCAGTGCTGACATTTGATATAAAATAGGCTCCTTGCATCCACTTTGGCACATGTATCCTCCAAAGGTTAAATTACAGTGCTGCACAGAAGCAGCCTGTAATGCTTCTGTGAGGAGTTTGGAGGCCTTACACTGTGCAATGCCTAATAACAGCTGAAAGTACGATCAGAGGATTCTTTTTGTTTCTCTACTTATAGCCAGAGTAGACATTTTTGTCTTACGTAGTAAGAATCACAGCTCTGTTTTTTCACAGCAAGATGAGTGCTGGCCCATCTTGGAGTAATGTACAACCTTCAAAGAATTCTTCAGGGAAAAAGGCAGAGTAAATCCCAAGTACCCCATGTTTCTTCTCGGCTGAGAAGCAGCCTTGCAGATGTCTCCCAGCCAGGTACAGAGCGACATAAAGAAAGCATTTGTACCAAAGGAAAACCTGGTCAGAATGCATTCAGCACCAGGAGTCAGGGGGCCTCAGGGAACAAATTGTTTATGGACTTTCAGTCGATGAAAATTATTGAGGAAGATGCTGACGGGGATAGTGCAAGTGACTTGTCAGATTCAGAAAGAATTCCTATTCCTCCTTCTCCCCTCACACCTCCAGATCTCAATCTTCGAGCTGAAGAAATCGACCCAGTTTCCTTCAATCTTTACCCAAGTGAAGGCTGTGCAAAGACTGAATACCATTATCCAGACTTCCTTCCACCCCCATTTAGCTCCTGGGACCTTCGGGATATAGCCATGCTTCCAAACACAGAGTGCAAGGTCCAGGCAGTGTCCCACACGGGTGGTCTTCTTGGGAAGTACCTTGACAGACTCATCCAGCTTGAGTGGCTGCAGATCCAGACTGTGCAGTGTGAGAAGGGCAGGGGAGGAAAAGCCAGGCCTCCCGTTGTCCCTGGGGCCTCAGGGGCTCTGAAAAGTCCTGGGAGAAGTAAACTACTTGCTAGTACTCTGTGCAAGCCACTACCTTACCGAGAAGGGACCTCAAAATCAGGCCTTTCACGAAAGAAGGCTTTTCCCTATGAAGAGCTTCACCCATCCTGTTGCTCATTCGAGGCTTCCTCCAGACCTGTGGACTCACAGAGCTGTGCCAGGTTGTGTTCTCAGAAGCCAACTCCTGAGCTGAGGACTGGAGAGAAGAAAAAGAAATCAAGCAGGAGCAGCAAGCTGCAGCGCTGGGATTTGCCCTGCAGTGGCTGCAACCCTAAGATGGAAGCCAGTGGTAACATCCGAGTCCCCAAACAGTCAGCCATGATTCTGGACCCTGTGGACTCCTGTGGGGCCGCCAGAACACAAACTCATGTAAATCTTAAGAAAAAGGGGAATGGAAATAACTGTGGTCGTGCCACTGTAGCTAGTGAGAAGAAATTAAAAACCAATGGAGTAAAGCAAAAGGCGTGTAAATTAAAATAGTGTCTGAACTGGTGAAGTGCTGGGCCCACAGACACGGAAATACTGAAGCCCTTCCAGAAGCTACGATAAAGACATCTCGTGACGACTGGCTTTGAAGCAGTAGACTGACTCTTCGGGTTACCCCATCCCCACCTGAGCAGAGTTATTCTCAAAGACTGGTCTGCTTCAGTAAGCCTTTCTTTGTATTGACAAACATTTTAGGCACTTGAGAGTCCTTTAGGTAAAAATTCAGCAAAATGTATGTTATATAAAGAAATATAATGATAACACTAGCCAGCAGTGCTACTTGCCCTCACGTAAGAGTAAAACAGTATGTACTGTTGTAAATGACATGAAATCCTAGCATTTGAAATAAGGCCAATCTGGCCACTGGCTTTCTGGCTTTTGCATAAGTTCTTTAAGCAAATCTTTGTTCTACTCCCAGGAGAAGGGTCAGTTCCTCCCCCAGCTATGGAAAAAATGTGAGTTTCTATTTTGAGCGGTCATTTATCACTAAGCTGCTTGCTTGCAGAGATAATGGCACCCAGGGCTTTAATACATTTCTCTGACATGATTTTTAAATTTAGAGGTGGCGTGAAGTCCATTTCTGAATCCTTTGAACTAAGGGTAAGATAACTTGCAGAAAGAAAGTGGTCTAAGCATGATTATTGCTGTTTGGTGGGGAAGAAGGAACTGTTTGGCAACGGAGACTTTCTGTCATGCACAGCTCTCTGAAGAGAAGCCACCTTTTAGAAGTTATAAATGAAGGGCCTAAAACGTGGAGCTGTGTCGGCTGTAACAGTTAATAAGTTACTGACTTGGAATCCAGAACTCATTGTCCTTAGTCAAAAACCTGATCTAATTCAGTTTGCAAGAGCAGGAATTTATAATTGTGCCTGGGGGTGGGGGTGGGCGTGGGAGAGGACACACGTCCAGATGGAGGGAGTGGAATGGAACAGGCACAGTTGCTGGATGTGTTCAGAACATGCTTATCTGCTCCCAGGCTTCCTGGTTCTTCGGTGGGCAGGCCACTTCCTCAGCTGAGGTTGAGTCACGTCTGCTTTTTCACTGGCTGTGCAGGGAGCTCTCTGTCAGTGTGTGAGTATCTTCCAAACCTTTGCTTGGCTGCCTCTTGAGGTCCTGTTTTAATGAGCTCAGTTCATTTTATCCATTGAAACAATTACTGTATTTGCTTTAGGCATCCATGCTTCTGTTTTTTCACCTTTGGAGTTAACGAAAAAATGAGACATGCTGCATTTGAAAATTTATAATGGCTTAGAAACTCTTCCCACAGCAGTGAGTGTATTCAGACTCCACACCAGGACAAGATGCATTCACGATTAAAACAACATGCAAGGGGTAAACATTAGGATCTGTTTTTAACCATATTAAACGTATGAACATTTTTATGGTAGCCTTTTCCTTGCAGGGTTTTTGCAAACTCTTTCATTCTTTACCTTTCACACCAGCTTACTGGAGAAAGCACACTTACACTTTTTATGTGAACAAAAGATGTACATATAGTAGTCGTTGCTTCCTGGTCCTTAAATATACCCTTACCATTTGTCCTTGGTATATCCACTGTATTTGGAAAAGAGCCCTACTCTTCCTTCTCCTCCTGTGGTTCCTGAATTGCCCCATGTGCCCCAGCCTGCCTGCTCTTTGGGACACAGATGAGTCCATTACCCATGGCTGATAGCCTCCCTTCTTTCTCTGACAGATCTTTATGTAGCTTTTCATGAAGTTCTATGGCTGATACCTATCTCTAGCATGACATCACATACACCTGTATTTCTCATTTAATACTAAAGGCTTTGTGCCAACGCGTTGCCTTTTCTGGTACTGCATCCATGTGGGTGCCCTACTCCTGGAGACCTTGAATGGGTGACGGTGCAAATGTTTTCCCCCCCTTGCCTATGTGTGTGTGAGCTGAAGATCATCATGATTAGGAAATTTAGAAGTAATGCCTCCCGCATCTAGGCCCAGCTTTTTAAACCAAAGCTGGTTGCTTAACCTGAGGAATAGTCCAAACAGCCTGTGTTCAGGTAGTTCTAAAAACCTGAAAAGGTGACCTCATTTGTTTACCTTTTTGCCTGAAGTTGTTTATTTTAACCAGTGTTATTGGATTGGATCAAAGCACCTATGAACAATGTTTACTTTTTTTTTAAACTTAGATTTATTACAGAAATAATATAAGCACAATTTTAGTTTTATGATCTTTAATATACCCATCCAGCACATCTTAATGCACTAAGTACTGTAGGCGACTCATGCAGTTCATCAGGTCAGAACCGTGGGAGTGTCCTGCTGGAGTGTCCTAGTGACTTACGTCGCAGAGTTTCCAAAAAGTGCCTCTCATTTCTGAGGAGTTGTTTGCACACACCTCCTTGCATTTAAGCCAACTAAAACGATCTGAGGTAAGAACCAAAAAGAATATAAGAAAAGATATTTCAGGCTTAGAATCAGTTAGTAGAAAAAAAAATCAGAAAATCTTCTCTGAATGTTTAGGTTTAAACTGTTTCGCAAACCTTTAAATGAGGCCTGATGCAAAACATGGAAGAGACAATGTCTGTCTGAATAGTAGCTAATGGTGAAAGGAAGATGGTTTATACTGGTTCCTCAGTCTATTTGGCTACTTTCCAGAAAGATGTAAGAATTGCCACCTTACGTTGTCTTTTTTTTCTTTTTATTTTGCCATTAACTTGAGTAGTTACGTAGAAACAGGAAACTGCCGGTGGTACTGTGTTCAAGGCAGTGGAGAAGCAGTGTTTGTATTTATGTTTACATGTACAGGGCTTGAACAGATTCAGCATGATTATTTGCTGTTAAATGATTGTAAGTTTGGTTTTCCATGTAATAAAACAATTCGCGTAAGTTTTTGTGAACTCAGATTTTTTTTTTCCTTCCTTGAGATCAAATAAACAGAAAAATATTACCAGGTATGGTTTTGTTTTGCTTTTTCTAAGTCTGTCTGTTTTCTCCCTGTTATTTCAAGGAATTGCTCGGGATGAAATCCTGTTCTAACTCCTCCCTGGATACTAAGCCCTGACCTGTGTAAGGATTTAGAGAAGATTCGTAGACCATCGTAGATTCGTTAGGGAAACATCAACGTCCGCCGCTCCCCAGACACGTTGAGGTTGGGTGAGCAGGCATGAAATTCAAGAAACCCTTGCCAGAACTTAACACCTGCCAAACCCAAAAGGCCTTGGCTCCTCCTCCTAGCTCACTTCTGACCTTGAGGTGTACACTTTTGAGTCTACCAAATCATGGCAGTAGGATTTGTGGAGGATAGGAAACAGTTTTCTGGTGGCGTTTCAACATTAACCATGCTGTAAGTTTTAAATCCAGGCTTCATTTATACCAAAAAAAAAAAAAAGTAGGTTATTTTTGACTGTTGCTATCTATCTTATCATCCACAAGATGGCGACGTAACCTTTCAGACAGCCATGAATTTGTCCCATTACTCATTAGAAAGGTTCTTTTCCTACCAGTACCGTGCCATCAGACAATTAAACTTAAGTGCTGGGGAGGGTTCCCTTCTAGTCACTGAACGTTCCCAAATCATGAGTCACGGTGTGGCGCACACAGTAACGCGCCACGAAGTAACGTAAGTCATTACTTTATAAAAACCTTCATAGAGACCTGTTTGATAAACGGCAACTTTGTGGCTGGGAAGAATCTGAACAGACAGCCTTGCTGGGTGTTCCCACAGTCTTGCATTCGCTCAGGTTGTTTTGTCCAGCCGTGTTTCCTCCATCACACCTAAGCATGAACATAGACAGGTTTCCCTGACTTAGGGTCCTCATTTTTAGGGCTCCTGTCTCATGGAACACTTTGATGAAATAAATTTGTTGTGCTTTTTTCTTGCGAGCATGTCTTCTGCTACAGGAATGTGGGCCTGGCCCTTATGATGGGTGAGGAAAGGTATCCCACCTTTCTGCCCCTATAAAGGAAAATCAATAATGCATCTTTAACTTCATGGTACACTAACCTAGCACAATTTTATGCCTTGCTGCACACATTGTGAGTCCCTCCTCAGGCCTCTGGGTCAGTCTGTTCTTGAACAAGACCCTTGGCACGTTAAAGCCTGAGAAACCTTTCCTAGTAATGAACGTCTGCAAGCCCAAGTTGACTGCTTCCTTCTAAGGTGCTTTAAGGACTGGACCCCACCTGTCCCCACACACACTTCAGCTACCAAGGAAACCATGGGCTTATCTATGTGGATTTTCTCAGAGCCTAAAGGCATGTGGCTCACAGTTGCGCTGCAGAACTGATCATCTGCAGAAGAGGTTTAGGGCCTCTGATAATCCACACCACAAGTGTGTGCTCAGGAGTTTCGGTTCCTTAAAACACTTAGCCCCCTGACCCTCACATTCAGACTCTCACACTTTCATACTCCAGGCCAGGGAAACTGTGCCTTTCCCATTCCTTTCACCCCCACCATCATCTTAGCCAGGTGTAGGAGATCTTTGCCTGTCACCAGACTTCCTTCCCTGCCTCCCCAGGAGATGCCTACCTTCATAAAGCAAGGGAAAAGGAGACAAAGGTTTGCTTTTTTCCAGGACTGTTTTTAGTTCTCTAAACACTGAAACAAAATGCTTTTGTTGTAGAAGAAGATGCTCTGGTTTTAACCTCAGCAAGTACTTGATGTGGAGTGATCTTAGCTCTCCCTTCTCCCTGTCCTCGCTTTCAAACTTTAGAAGTATTAACATGGTGGCATGGATGACTGAAGAAAGAGCTTTGTCTGCACGGTCAATATGTTTATACTGAAAGATCTTGGCAAAGGTGAGGAAGACCCAGGATCTGTCATACACTGTTCATCTTCTACTCTTAATTGGAAAATTGGGAAAGACATTGAAGATCTCTCAAAAAAAATGTTCAGGCCAGCTCTTGGTGGCTGACTCAAAACACTAAGCATGAGTCACCCTTTCTTACCTATCTAGGTGACTACCAAAGCCATCAAAGTAGAAGAGCCAAACACTTTTTAGTTGTTAAATTAAGACATATAAATGATAAACAATGAATTCTTTTATTCTAACACAAGTCTAACAAACTTCAGCATGCTACTCAGGTAAACTAAACATTTAATATTAAGTATATAATATATTAGGGACGGGATAAAAGTACACTAACAGTAATAACTTAATAATTTAATAATAATACCTTGGACTTTTCACTGATGGAGTCAAAGTTACTTTTGGATTTTTCCTCAGTGTGGCAGTCATGTGTATCAACATTCCTATCAACAACTGATGGCATACAGAACTGGTGCCCTGTAGGATTATAATGGGGCTGAGAAGTTCCCATGGCCCCGTAGCTCTACTGTGCCTTTTCTAGGTTTGTACATGTTTAGATACCCGAACACTTTCTACTGGTTTACAGTTCCCTCCAGAGTTCACTGCAGTAACAGGCTGCCCAGGTTTGCAGCCTACGCACAAGAGCCTTACCCTATAGCTAGGAATGTGACCAGCTGTACCATCTAGGTGTATGGAAGCCACTTTGTGGTTTCTTCCGCAAAGGCTACCTCACTCAAGGGTACATTTTTTAAGACACTGTCCTTAATTGACTCATGACTGTATTATCAAAAATTTCAAACATACAGAAAAGTCAACAAAGTTGTCATGTGAACACGCTCATGTTCCCTGTCTACACCTGACAGCTATCATCATGATACAACTGCTTTGTCCTTTCCTTTATCCACCCACCCAGCCTGGCTGTCACCTCCTCCTGGCAGGCAACTGACTCCCTCCGGGTTTGGCCTGCTCTCGATCACACTGCAGTGTCTCTACCTCGGTAGCAGAGTTGGATTCTGTTGGCAGCTGTTTTATGCAGGAGGGAGGTGTGGACTTAGGAGAGCACCTCACTGTTCCTGGAAGCAGAGCTCCCCTTGATTTCATTTTTTAAATCTCTTCTGGAGGCTGTATTGAGAAAGGAAGCTTTTCTTGTAACTATAAAGAAATAGGACCTTGAACTCAGGATTATTGTTTGGAAACCCCAATCATCTATGAGTGTACATATATGGAGAGGTCTCCACTCAGTGCCGTCAAAATTTTCCTAATCCAAGTCTTCACATTCTTTCAATCCCCCAATGCTACCTTGGGCACATTTTCCTCCAGTCCCTTCAGTCAGTAAAACAAGTCCAGTTTAGAAGGCTCATTCACACCTGTAAACCTGGCTACTTCCAAGACAGAGATCAGGAAGATCACAGTTCAAAGCCAGCCCAGGCAAAAAGCCAGACCCGATCTCAATCAATAAGCTGTGTGGGGTGGTACATGCCTGGGATGCTGTAGAAGGATCATGATCTGAGATCGGCCTCAGGCCAAAATGTAAGGACCTAGCTAAAAAATAACTAAACCAAAAAAAAAAGGCTGGGGTATGACCCAAGTGGTACTTCACCTGCCTAGCAAGTCCAAGGCCCTGAGTTCAAACCCCAGTACAGCCAAAAAATTAAAAAAATAAATAAAAGGTCACTGTCAACCTTGATTGAAATGGAATCTCTCCCTCACTCTGGGTGGGAGGGCTGGAAGCCTCTTAAGTTGGCCTGCTGCCAGGCCTTCCACCCTAGGACTGAGGGAGAAAGGCACGGCCTGCATCCTCATGGGGACAGTCCTGCTTCTTGCCTCTCCCAGCCCCTATAGGGCACTGGTTCTTCCAAGGATGGGACAGAAAGGAGAGAGCAAAGGAAGCACTGCATGCTTCTGCAGATGGCTCTGTCTGGCCTCACACTGCTGGCTCACCAGAAGGCACCTAAATGCTAGCCTCTCTCTGTGGGTGGTCATGTTCTCAGCTCCCCAGCCAGCAGGAACCCCATGGGAGACAGGAGGGAGGGCCAGTCCTAGCCCCCCCAGCTTTTCAGTGTTCACTTGGTCCACACTAGAAATGCCAAATGTCAGAGTGTCTGTTCTCTAAGTCCTACTGTCCTCAGAGTTGGCCATGGGTCAGAAACAGACAGACCACTGTCTAGCAGAAGTCCATCTGGGGTGGGATGCCCTCATTCTTTACCAACAGTTTTCTCATTGCTCACATCTGGCTTCCTGAGGTGGAAAGTGAGCACCCATCCCTCCCCTCGGGATAGGGGTGAGAGCTTTCTGCAAATTCGGTGGCAGAAGGCAGTGCCCACCCCTCTTCCTTTACACCTGGCGTCACAAGGTATAGGAAGGGAAAGGGAAAACTTTGGGGATGACAGGATCTGCTCTGCTATATATTTGAGAGTCCTGATCTGTCTGGTCGCAGTTGTCCTTGGTGGCTCTCTCTGAATGTGTTGGATTTAATGTCTTACATTCTCAGCTAAGGGTCCTTGTCACCAATTCCTGGGCAACTAGTAACCTTCCAAGCAATATACTTTTCCCTGAAAAGATGACAAATGATCATATTCAAGCTGTCTTTACTGACAATCCTGAAAATAGAACTCAGCCCAGAGCATGACATTTGCAGGACTTTTGTGGACATGGAAAATTCAGGATAAAATTAATCCTTTCCTGGAAGCATTCATGATGTGTGTCATCCTAAAATGAAATGCTGAGAACTTGAGGCGAGTTAGGCACCCTCCAACATCCAAAGTGAGAAATTTGAGTCTAGGTGACTAATGGTAACTTACACCTTCCTTTTCATCTTCAGCACAAGTGATCACATTGTCAGTTTCAGGGAGCTGGGAGCTGCCACCATGTGGCCACAAGGTATTACTGTACTTCCAAGGACACAGACAGGAACAATAGACTATTGTCCCCAGAATCCCAGATGCTTGGAACAGCCTCATCCTAGTTCAGACTCACCTTAGGAGACAAGTGCAGCCTGAGGGTACCAGCTGGTTCAAGAACCTCAGTCTATGGGAGTAGGGCTGCCTAATGGGCACCTGACATTTTGCCCAGTTGTTTTGAATGTTTGAGAATGTTGAAAATTTTGTTGCTCCTAATATATTAAAATACCGATTTCTTTCAACTTAGAAGAAGTGTAAAAATGGAACCCTTCCCTAGACTTCCCCAGCCCCTTCCCAGAGAGAGGCCCTTGAGACTAACAGGTTACCTTTCTTGTCCAGCGTGTTCATCCCCAGCATGATTCTAGCATGGGGTGCTCCACCTATACTCTTCTCCCACCCCCAAAAATATTTCACTTGGCTTAGCTCACCTGATCTGCACACTCTCCATTAGTGACTGACTTAAGTTCTCAATAGGGTGACACTTCAAGACTATTCACTCTGAAAACACATCAGTTACTATTACTCTGCTTGTCGTTATCCACGGGAAGTCTCTAGAGAGCCTGGGGCCAAAGTGGTTAAAGTGGTAGAGTGCCTGCCTGGCAAGTGTGAAGCTCTGAGTTCAAAACCCATAGGCCCTAAAGTCACATTTCTTACTCTTTTCAATAATAAACTTCTAAACTGAGTGAAAATAATAACCTAGCCAATGAAAAGAGTCCACAGCCGCAGCTTACAGAGTAAACTATAGCTCATCTAGTCCGTCTAGAAGCTCACTACAATGTAATAACAAGGTAACATGTTAAGGTAATCAGTTCATGTATGTCAGAATTTGATTCAAAATTTAATCATTGCAATCTTGAATATGTCCCCTTCCCTGGATTCTAACCCAAAGACCCTGGGTTGCCGCAGAGACCCTGAAAAAAAGAAGGCTCCTTCTCATTTCCCATTTCTCCTCCTCCCACTTTAATCCCACAATCAAAAGACAGATTAATCTAACTCAAAATAGGTTTTGGTAAAAAAAAGTTTAAGCATATACTTGGAATAAAGATATTTTTTAAGGGTTTTTAAAGGAGAGTTTTGTCTTTCATTACCTTGCTTTTTGTCTGTTGGTTTTTTGTTTCCGTCCTGCAAACAGAACATGGGGCCTTCAAAACACTAGGCGCTAGGCAAGGGCTCTGCCACCGAGCTGCATCTCTCCGCCTTTCATTTGTTTACTTCCATACCCATCCTCTTTGACCTTCACTAATTTCTCGGAACTGTGTTCCAGTTTGTAATGATTATAGAAAGTAATCATTAAAATACACTGTTCAAGAAAGAGATTACCGGGTATTCTCTTCAGAAACTAAAAACCAACCAAGAAACAAAAGAAGCAAAGCTCTCCCACTCCCATAGGCACTGGCTTTGCATACCTCTGGCGGAACCATGATTCCCTGTGTACACACCTAACTGGGGTGGTCTGATTTCTCCCTGATCCTTTCCTAGGAACTCTGCTAGGAAATCAGTCCACCAGCTCTGATACTACAAACAAGGCCTGGAAGAAGGGAGGGGAAAGCTGGGCTGAAGAGCTGAGCCTGTGTACCCTGAGAGCGATTGGAGGATACCCTTCTGACTGGGAAGGACATCCCTGGCTCCCAGTGAGGACACCAGGCTCCGAGGGACTGGCCAGCACCTGCACACTCTGAGTACATCTTGGGCATCCACATACCAGAATGGATCCCAGAGGCTGCCCCTCATTGCTTCTTCTGCTGCTGCTGTTGTTGCTGCCACAGGTGAGCTGGGACTGTTGCCAGAACTCAGGTGCTGAGAACTGAACGTGGCACTAGTTGGCCTTGCCCCTTCCAGGCTAAAGGAAGGGGGCAGAATAACTGAGTGTGATCTGACTGAGGCTGGAATGAGGACTGGCCATCTTTAGAGTGGCCTCGGCAGCAGGGAGGGGCTCCAGAGTTTAGATAAAGGAGGATTGAGGATCACAATCTTTTTGGAAAGAAGTGGGTATCTTGTCTTAAAATTGGCCTATAAAGCACACACAGTTTTAAGTTAAATTACATCAATATACACATAGACGTTTTTCTACAATCCTTCTATCTACATTTGGCACAATGTTGAAGAAATCTCAATGGTTTCTACCAAAGACAAATGGAGAAAACCAATGGGTGTGGGAGGCTAAGTCTACCCGCTACCACCACCAGTTGCCACTGTTCATGTGAGAAGATGAACCGCCAAATCACAGTGAGAAAAGTCGGGGCTTGTTCTGTTTGCTTACAGTGGACAGAATCAGTGTTGCATGTGCTTGCTGGTGCA